CACAGCCAATCAAATACTGAAACCAAAAACCAAGCAACAAACATAAAATCGAAATAAATGAAATCAACAAAAGAATATCATCAACAAGTCAAACAAATACCAAATAATTCAAACAGAGTATCAAACAGCTGAACAGCCAAGAACAAAAGAAACAAAGAACAAACAATCAATCACTGAAACAACATCAGCAAAACAAAACACTGGATGGAACCAATCAAATGTATCAAACAACAAAAAAACAAAGGAAATAACCAATCAAAGCAAGATACAGCCAACAAACAAACAAACAAGAAAACAAACACGTATCAAAGAAACAACACAAACACTTAAACAAGCACAAAATGCAAGAAATAATGAAAACAAACAAAACACTCAAAAATCAACAAAACCAAAACATGCTAAAAGAGCATTAACACAACCAAACTCATAACCACCCACTGTCAAAAAGCAACAACAAACCAAGCAAAGAAATAACAACAAAAGTAACTAAGCATCAAACTGAGAAAACAACAAATGAACGAAAGAAAGCTAACACAAGCAATCAGCCAAAAAAAACCCGAAAAACGAAAAGGATTTGACAACACAGCGAGTAAACAAAACACAGCAAGCAACAAAACACCGATGATCAGACACACGTACTGAAAGAAAACAGAGCCAATCAAATATTGAAACACAAACAACCAAGCAACAAACATTAAATCGAAACAACAGAAATCAACAAAAGAATATCATAACAAAGGCAAACAAATACCAAATAATTCAAACAGAGTATCAAACAGCCGAACAGCCAAGAACAATAGAAACAAAGAACAAACCATCAATAGCTGAAACAACATCAGCAAAACAAACACAGGAACGAACCAATCAAATATATCAAACAACAAACCAACAAAGGAAATAACCAATCAAAGCACAAAACAGCCAACAAACAAACAACAAAATAAACACTTATCTAAGGAACAACACAAACACTAAATCAAGCACAAAATGAACAAAACAAAGAAATGAAAACAAACAAAACTCTCAAAAATCAACAAAACGAAAACAAATTAAGAGAGCATTAACACAACCAATTACATAGCCACCCACTGAAAAAAACAACCGACAACCCAAGCAAGAAATAACAACAAATGGAACCAAACATTAAACTTAGAAAACCCCATCTGAACGAAAGAAAGCTAACACAAGCAATCAGCCAAAAAAAAACAAAGAACACCAAAAAAACACACAAAAAAACCGAAAAGAATTGACAACACAACGAGTAAACTAAACGTAGCAAGCAACAAAACACCAATGAAGAAACACACGAACCAAAACAAAACACAGCCAATCAAATATTGAAACCAAAAACCAAGCAACAAACATAAAATCGAAATAAATGAAATCAACAAAAGAATATCATCAACAAGTCAAACAAATACCAAATAATTCAAACAGAGTATCAAACAGCTGAACAGCCAAGAACAAAAGAAACAAAGAACAAACAATCAATCACTGAAACAACATCAGCAAAACAAAACACTGGATGGAACCAATCAAATGTATCAAACAACAAAAAACAAAGGAAATAACCAATCAAAGCAAGATACAGCCAACAAACAAACAAACAAACAAACAAGAAAACAAACACGTATCAAAGAAACAACACAAACACTTAAACAAGCACAAAATGCAAGAAATAATGAAAACAAACAAAACACTCAAAAATCAACAAAACCAAAACATGCTAAAAGAGCATTAACACAACCAAACTCATAGCCACCCACTGTCAAAAAGCAACAACAAACCAAGCAAAGAAATAACAACAAAAGTAACTAAGCATCAAACTGAGAAAACAACAAATGAACGAAAGAAAGCTAACACAAGCAATCAGCCAATAAAGAGGGGGGAATTAGAGAGGATGGAATGGAAAAGGAAGGAGGATGGAGGGAAGGCCGACCCAGGAGGATGGAAGGGGAAGGCCCCACAGGAAGGATGGAGGGAGAAGTAGGACCGAGGATGGAGGGAGAAGTAGGGGAGGATGGAGGGGAAGTGGAGATGGGATGGAGGTGAAGGAAGGAGGATGGAGGGGAAGTGACGGAGGAAGGAGGAGATATGGAGAAGCAGGGAGGAATGGAGGACGGAATGGAGGAAGGACGGAATGGACGGAAGGATGGAGGAAGACGGATGACAACACGGAGGACAGGAGGAATGGAATGGAGGAGGACGGAATGGAGGAAGGAGGAGGACAGGAGGGAAAGGAGGAGGAGAAGAGGACGGAAGGAAGGAAGGAGGAGGAGGAAGGATGGATGGAGGAGGAAGGAGGAATGGAGGAGGAAGGACAGATGGAGGAAGGGAGGAAGGAGGAGGAAGGAAGGAGGACGGGTGGATGGAGGAGGAGGAAGGAGGACAGATGGAGGAGGTGGACGGAAGGAAGGAAGGAGGAGGAAGGATGGAGGAAGAAGGAAGGAGAGAGGACAAGGAGGAAGGAGGAAGAGGGAGGAGGAGGAGGAGGAAGGAAGGACGGAGGAAGGAGGAGGAGGAAGGAAGGATGGAGGAAAGGAGGAAGGAATGGAAGGATGGAGGAGGAGGATGGAGGGAGGAGGAAGGATGGAAGGAGGAAGGAGGATGGAGGAAGGGAGGAATGAGGAAGAAGGAAGGAGGAGGAGGAAAAGGAAGGAGGATGGAAGGAGGATGGAGGAGGATGGAGGAGGAAGAGGAGGAAGGAGGATGGAAGAGAGGGAAGAGGATGGAAGGAGGAGGAAAGGTGGATGGAGGAAGAGGAATGGAGGGAAAGGAAGGAGGACAGAGAGGAAGGAGGAATAGGAGGAGGGAAGGATGGAGGATGGAGAAGGAGAGAGGAATGGAAGGAGGGAGGAGGAAGGAGGGAGGATGGAGGAAGGATGGAGGGAGGAAGGGAAGGAAGGAGGAAAGGAAGGATGGAAGGAGAGGAGGAAGGAGGATATGGAGGAGGAGAAGGAACAAATGGAGGGATGGAGGAAGGAAGGAGGAAGGAAGGAAAGGAGGAGGAGGAGGAAGGAAGGAGGAGGAAGGAAGGATGGAGGAAGGATGGAAGGAAGGAGGAGGAAGATGGAGGAGGATGGAGGAGGATGGAGGAGGAAGGAGGAGGAAGGAGGAGGAAGGAGGAAGGGAGGAGGAAGGATGGAGGAAGAAGGATGGAGGAGGAAGGAGAGGAACAGAGGAAAGAAGGAGGAGGAATGGAAGAGTGGAAGGATGGAGGAAGGAGGAGGATGGAAGGAGGAGGAGGAGGAAGGAGGAATGGAGGAAGGAGAAGAAGGAAGGATGGAATGGAAAGGAGGAAGGAGGAAGGAAGGAGGAATGGAGGAAAGGAGGATGGAGGATGGAGGAGGAAGGATGAGAGGAAGGAGGAGAGGATGGAAGAGGAAGGAAGGAGGAAGGAGGAAAGGGAAGATGGAGGAGGAGAAGGAGGAGGGAAGGAGGAAGGAGGAGGGGATGGAGGAGAAGGAAGGAGGGAGGAGGATGGAGGAAGGAGGGAGGAGGAAGGAAGGAGGGAGGAGGAAGGAGGAGGATGGAGGAGGAAGGAGGATGGAGGAAGGAAGGAAGGATGGAAGGAGATGGAGGAAGGATAGGAGGAAGGAGGAGGAAGGAATGGAGGGAGGAAGGGAGGAAGAGGAAAGAGATGGAGGAAGGATGGAGGAGGGAGGATGGAAGGAGGAGGAGGAGGATGGAGGAAGGAGGGAGGGAGAGGGAAGGAAGGAGGAGGATGGAAGGAGGAGGAGGAGAGGATGGATGGAGTGGAGGAAGGAGAGGATGGAGGAAGGATGGATGGAGGTGAGAGGAGAGGAGGAGGAAGGAAGAGGGAGGATGGAGGGAAGGAGGAGGGAAGGAGGGAAGGAGGGGAGGATGGAGGGATGGAGGGAAGAGAAGGATGGAGGAGGATGGAAGGAGGGAGGAGAAGGAGGGATGGAGGAGGGAGGGAGGAAGGAGGAAGGAGGAGGGATGGAGGGAGGGAAGGAGGGAGGAAGGAGGAGGAGGAGGAGGGATGATGGAATGGATGGAAGGAGGAAGGATGATGGAAGGAGGGATGGAAGGAAGAGGATGGAGGATGGAGGGAAGGATGGAGGGAGGAGGGAAGAGGAAGGAGGAAGAAGGATGGAGGAAGGAAGGAGGAGGGAAGGAGGAAGGAAGGAAGGATGGATGGAGGAGGAGGAGGAAGGAGGAGGAAGAGGAAGGAGGAAGGAAGGAAGGAGGAGGAGGAAGGAGGAAGGATGGAGGAAGGAAGGAAGGAAGGATGGAGGAGGGAGGGGGATAGGAGAGGAATGGATGGAGGATGGAGGGATGGAGGAGGAAGGGGAGGAGGGAGGAGGGAGGGAGGAGGAGGGATGGAGGGATGGAGGGAGGAGAGGAGGAGGAGGAAAGGAGGAAGGAGGAGGAATGGATGGAGGGATGGAGGAGGAGGAAGGAGGAAGGAGGGAGGAGGAGGATGGAGGGAAGGAAGGAAGGAAGGGAGGTGGAAGGAGGAAGGAAGGAAGAGGGAGGAGGAGGGAGGAAGGAGGGAATGGAGGAAGGATGGAGGAAGGAGGGAGGAGGATGGAGGAGGAGGAGGAGGAGGGAAGGGAAGAAGGGAAGGAAAGGAGGAAGGAGGATGGAAGGAGGAAGGATGGAGGAGGAGGAGAAGGAGGAGGAGGAGGATGGAGGGAGGGAGGATGGAGGAGGGATGGAGAGGAGGAAGGAAGGAAGAAGGATGGAGGGAAGGAAGGAGGAGGAGGGAGGAAGGAGGGAGGATGGAGGAGAGGGAGGAGGAGGGAGGGGAGGAAGGAAGGATGAGGAGAGGGGAAGGAGGGAAGGAGGGATGGAGGGGGAGGGAAGGAAGGAGGAAGGAAGGAAGGAGGGAGGGAAGGACAGGGAAGGAATGGAGGATGGAAGGAAAGGAGGAGGAAGGAGGGAGGGAGAGGAAGGAAGGAGGAAGGAAGGAGGAAGGAGGGAGGGAGGGAGGAAGGAGGAGGAAGGAGGGAAGGAGGGAGGAAGGAGGGAGGAGGATGGAGGATGGAGTGGATGGAAGGAGGATGAGAGGAGGAGGAGGAGGAGGAGGAAGGAGGAGGGAAACAGGAAGGAGGGAGGATGGAGGGATGGAAGGGAGGAGGGAGGAAGGAGAGGGAAGGATGGAGGGAGGGATGGAGGATGAGGAAGGAGGATGGAGGAGGAAGGATGGAGGAGGAGGAAGGATGGAAGGAAGGAACGAGGAACAGGAGGGAGGAAGGAGGATGGAGAGGAGGACAGGAATGGAGGAGGAAGGACGGACAGTGGAGGGAACAGAGGGAGGAGGAAGGAGGAACACACAAGGAGGACAGGAGTGGACGGAGGGAGGACGGAAGGAGGAAGGAGGAGGAAGAGGGAATGAAGGAGGACGGAGGAAGGATGAGGAGGAAAAGGAAGATGGAGGAAGGAGGAAGGAAGGACAGGAGGGACAGGAGGATGGAGGAGGAGGAGGAGGATGGAGGAAGGAAGGAGGACAGAGGAAGAATGGAGGAAGGATGGAGGAGGAAGAGAAGGAGGAGGATGGAGGACAAGGAAGGAGGAGGAGGAACGGAAGGACAGGAGGGAGGAAGGAAGGAGGAGGACGAGGAGGAAGGAAGGAAAAGGAATGGAGGGAAGGAAGGATGGATGGAGGAACAGGAAGGAGGGATGGAGGAAGGAGGGAGGAGAATGGAGGAGGAAGGAGGGAGGAAGGAGGAGGAGGATGGAGGGAGGAGGAGGAGGAGGATGAGGATGGAGGGAGTGGAGGACGAGGAGGATGGAGGATGGAGGAGAATGGAGGAAGGAAGGAGGGAGGAGGAGGAAGGAGGAGGAGGGATGGAGGAGGAAGGAGGAGGAGGAAGGAGGGAGGAGGAAAGGAAGGAGGAGGAGGAGGAAGGAGGAAGGAGGAAGGAGGGAGGAAGGAGGATGGAGGAGGAAGAGGATGGAGGAGGAGGAAGGAGGAAGGAGGAGGAAGGAGGAAGGAAGGAGGAGGAAGGAGGAGGGAGGGAGGAGGAGGAAGGAGGGAGGGAGGAGGAAAGGAGGGATGGAGGAAGGGAAGGAAGGAGGATGGAGGAGGAAGGAAAGAAGGAGGAGAAGGAGGAAGGAAGGAGGAGGAGGAAGGAGAGGAAGGAGGAAGGAAGGAAAGGAGGAGGAAGGAGGAAGGAGGAGGAAGGAGGAGGAGGAGGGAGGAGGATGGAAGAGAGGAGAGGAGGGAGAAGGATGGAGGAAGAGGGAGGAGGGAGGAAGGAGGAATGGAAAGGAAGGAGGAAGGAAAGGAGGAAGGAAGGAGGAAGGAGGAGGAAGGATGGAGGAGGAGGAAGGAGGAGGAGAGGAGGAGGAGGAAGGAAGGAGGAGGGAGGGAAGGAGGAGGAAGGATGGAGGGAGGAGGAAGGAAGGAGAGGAGGAAGGGAGGATGGAGAAAGAAGGATGGAGGAAGGAATGGAGGATGGAGGAAGGATGGAGGATGGAGGATGGAGGGATGGAGGAAGGAGGATGGAAGGGAGGGAGGAGAGGAGGGAGGAAGGAGGATGGAGGATGGAGGATGGAGGAAGGAGGAAATGGAAGGGAGGATGGATGGAGGAAGGATGGAGGAAGGAGAGGAAGGATGGAGGGATGACAAGGAAATGAAGGAAAGGAGGAGGATGGAAGGATGGAGGAAGGAGGAAGAAGGAATGGAGGAGGATGGAGGATGGAGGAGGAGGAGGAAGGAGGAAGAGGATGAGGAAGGAGGAGAGGAGGAGGAGGAGGATGGAAGGAGGAAGGAGGAGGAGAGGAGGGATGGAGGATGGGAAGGAAGGAGGAGGAAGGAAGAAGGAGGAAGGAAGGAGGAAGGAAGGAGGAAGGAGGAGGAAGGGAGAAGGAGGAAGGAGGAGGAAGGAGGAAGGATGGAAGGAGGGAGGAGGATGGAGGAAGGAAGGAGGAGGAAAGACAAGGAGGAAGGAAGGAGGAGGAGGAGGGAGAGGAAGGAGGGGAGGAAGGAAGGAATGGAAGGAGGAAAGGAGGAGGAGGAGGGAGGATGGAGGGAAGGAAGGAAGGGAGGAAGAGAGAGGAAGGAAGGAGGAGGGAGGAGGGAGATGGAGGGAGGGAGGATGGAGGATGGAGGGAGGAAGGAATGGAAGGAGGAAGGATGGAGGAGGAAAGGGAGGAAGGAGGGAAGGAGGAGGAATGGAGGAAGGAGGGAAGGAAGGAGGAAGGAAGGATGGAATGGAAGGAAGGATGGAAGGAGGGAGGAGGAGGAGGGAGGAAGGAGGGAATGGAAGGGATGGAGGAAGGAGAAGGAAGAGGAAGGGAGGGAAGGAGGAGGAAGGAGGGATGGAGGATGGAGGGAGGGAGGATGGATGGAGAAGGAGGAAGGAAGGAGATGGAGGAAGGAGGGAGGAGATGGAGGGAGGAGGAGGGAGGAGGATGGAGGAAGGAGGAAGGAGGGAGGAGGGAGGATGGAGGGAAGGAGGAGATGGAGTGGAGGAGGAAGGAGGAGGATGGAGGGAGGAGGGAGGAATGGAGGATGGAGGATGGAGAGGAAGGAGGGAAGGAGGAAATGGAGAGGAAGGAGGAGGAGGGTGGAGGAGGAGGGAGGGAGGGAGGAAGGAGGAGGAAGGAAGGAAGGAAGGAGGAGAGGAGAGGAGGGAGGAAGGAAGGAGGAAGGAGGGAGATGGAGGATGGAATGGAGTGGATGGAGGGAGGAAGGAAGGAGGAAGGAGGAGGAGGAGGATGGAAAAGAGGGATGGAAGGAGGGAGGATGGAGGGAAGGAAGATGAGGAAAGAGGGAGAGGAAGAAGGACAGGAAGGAGGAGGGAAGGAGGAGAGGAGGAGGAATGGAGGATGGAATGGAGGAGGGAGGTGGGTGGAGGGAGGGAGAAGGATGGATGGAGGATGGAGGACAGAGGGGAAGTAAGGGAGATGAAGGGGGAAGTAAGGAGGATGGAGGGGAGAATGGAGGATGGAGGAGAGATTTCCTTTCATATCTGTCAAATTACAACTCTGGCAAAAGAACAAGATCAGAAATCTTTCTTTGACACTGCCACAAGCACATCTTTGCCAGGCAGGTCAGTGTGTTGGTAAAACGTCAATGGAATGATACAATGCATGCTGTATCAAGGTGTTTGATCAGTACTATCACAGACACCAACCTTATGTATCAACATGAGACAATTCTACCACTCACCCATGTTTATCTCAAGAACATGTTGGTAACAATTGCTCAAGAGAATGAAGACTACTTTATGTAGCACCTCTGTGAATTGTGTCTCATCTATCTGTATTTAATTCTTTGGCTCGCAAGAATATAAGGAATGTATCATCATGCTATTTAAAAGCATGTGTGATCAGTGTTCTTCTAATTGACCCACCTCATCTTCAGTTCACCATCCATGTTTGTTAGAAGAATGTGTTGATGGTTATGGTTGCCGAGCAGAAATATAGCTTTACGGGGACCAGCTTTGATACGTAATTTAATGTGCTTTCACATTATCACTGACCCACCTTTTGTGTCCAGATCAGAAAATGTTGACCAATCACCAGCTCTTGCCTTAAGAATGCATTAGTCACTTAATCTGTTGTGTGTGATGATGGTTTATCTGGTCTTGGTTTGATCCTCGGCTGAGGTCATACCAAAACACGTTAAAATATGGTACTTGAGCCTGAGGCTCTGTATTAATGGGTAAAACAAGGCCTGGTCGGCTCGGAGTCAGTATAATGTGTCCGAGTGGGGTATTCATGCTTAGCTGTGGCATGGTATCTCATTGAGCTAGCACTATAAAACAGCTTAAGCCTGGGCTAGTACAAGCAGCCACACATACACACACATGCACGTCATCATAAGAGCGAAATATTCTTAAGTACATGTTCAATGTTAAACCATTTCACCTTGTCTGGTCTAGGTGTGATCACTTAATATGCCACAATGCTGAAAAACGTCTGTCACCTTAATCACTCACCCATTGGTTCAAAACCAAAATATGTTCAATGTTTGTGTTGCTACAAGGTAACAGAGAACACCCATGGCTACACAGGCACTCTTAGGTTATACATGCCTCTTGGGATACAGGTACTCTCACAACTTACCAAATATGTTACATGTCTATGATGCTAAATACCTGAGGCTTTACACTGACTGAGTTTGGTTTTACGCCGCTTTTAGAAATATTCCAGCAACATCACGGCGGGGACACCAGAAATGGGCTTCACACATTGTGCCCATGTGGGGATTCGAACCCGGGTCTTCGGCGTGACGAGCCAACGCTTTAACCATTAGGCTACCCCACCGCCCCTGAGGCTTTACAAGTCATATACATGTAAACTATAATGCTATAAAAACAGATACAAGTACTCACATTGTTCCAGATGTGTTCACCGTTTGTGTAGCTACACAGAGAGAAATACCAGAAGATAAGTCCTGTACCAGAGTACCAACCCAATGGACATACCATCTGTTGTCTCCAGACACTGTATTGGGTTAACATTGCCTTTAAATAAGTTCACTCTTGGACACAGTAATAATCATGATATGCTCATATACATATAGTTTAATCTAACATGTTATCAAATTGTTGCAAGTGTTGATCAGAGTGACCCACCTTTTGTATAATAAACTCAAGAAACCTTGAGGCTATGCATGAATTACACCACTCTGTCTGTCTATTGGTTTGAAGAAGGATATCATTATGTCAATCACTCTAACCTTATCAAATATGTTTGATGTTTGTTGTACTACACACTAGTGTTGGGAATTGGTTAAAATGTCATAATTGGTGATTGGTTCATTACCACCGATCAATCATCGAAAATAATTGGTTAGCGTCATTTATGAAATTTGTTAATGCACAAAAATATAAGGAAATAACATGTACTTATTTTTTTTAATTTTTTTTTTGGGGGGGGGCAAAATTTCACATCTTTAAAGGATGACTAGTATGTTAGGAACATAAATTTCTTGATGTCTTTATGATAAATTCATTGATGACTTGGAACAAGCTTGTAGTGCTTATAAAATGTAACAGACAAAACCAACCTTGTGAAAAATATTGTTGATGAAAACTAGTGTTCCAGAATTGTTTGTGTTCGATTATGAGAAAACATGACCGATTGCTTGGTCATTTAGTCACTGCGACCAATCTTCGATTATTTCAATTAATCGGACCACCACTACTACACACAGAGGACTACCTGAGACTAAGTCCTGCACCAGAGGACCTACTCAATGTACATTACATCTGTTGTCTGCTTACATTATATGTGTTACTATTGTCAGTATCATGTAAGTCACTCCAAGATACAGTAATATATTTAGCTGCTCATATGCAGTAATAGTTCGGCTTGAATTGCTCTCATCAAGCAGAGGACCAATCAAATGGACATACAAACTGTTGTCACCTGGTACTGTATTATGTTAGTATTGTCTTTAATTCACTCGTTCAATCAGTAATAAATGCAGCTGCTCATATGTACTCCCAATAACTGCTGCTCATATGCACTTCCCACAATTGCCTGTTGATCAACTAATGTTTGGAAACACTAACAGCCCTCCACAGAAATAGTTCTGCTAACAACAGAATTCAACTTCAGTTGTTAAAATAAGACATAACTACTATTTAAACTGCAAAGAGATATTTTATTGAGAAACAATGTAATCAAGGTAGAATCGTAAGCAAACAACCCCCAACCTTCAATCAATATCCAGTCTCTTAAACCATACACTTGCTGGATGATGAACAGGAACATACCCACAATACACTAATATATACCTACCTGTCCCCTCCACCTTACAGTATTTAGAAGAAGTCCCTGATGACAGATGACAGACTGGAGCTGTACTCAGCCAAGAGAGCTTCCAGGTCCCCCAGAGAGTCCTGGTGTGGCTCCAGAGCGTCCTGGGGATCCTCCAGTCTTGTCTGCTTTGCAGCTTGGGGCACCTCACTGCCGTCATCTGGGCACTTCCTCTTGCGTGAGGGTGGAGACTCTTTGCAGGGCTCAGCAGTGGGTTTCCTCTTTTTCCTTATAATAAGTTTAGTAAGGTAAAGATATTCCACATCATATTCATCATCAGAGCTAGGATCAGCTTTGTCCATCACATTGGCAGGATTAACATTTACTGTTGCAACAGTGGTAGCCGCTGAATTAGAATGCTCTAATGCTGAAGCAGCCTTATCTTTTACATTCTTATCAGGCACAGGCAATGACCTTGGTAAAACAGACTTTAGCTTTAAGTAAGCTTCATCAGCAAACAGTAATTCTTCAGCAAAACTAAGCTTACATGATGACTTAATGGTACCATTACCACCTGAGGGCTTAGTGATACGGTTCCCCAAAGGTCTGCTCTGGGTTTTGATGTGCTTAGCTCCAAGAGGCTGAGGCACAAAGTAGGGCTTGCTCTCAGGCTGATGCTTGCTCACTTTCTCTTTAGGAATGTGAGGCAGTGGTTGAGGTTTTGGCCTGAAAGGCTTAGGCTTTCGTTTGCAGGCCTTCTGCTTAAGTTTTTGCTTTGGTTGGAGTTTAGGGTTGTTTGCTGTATGCATAGCTGGCTTGTCAACATGGGATAGATACAGGGGAAGAGGAACTGGACTTGGTAGGTCAAGTTGGGGCAGAACACAGGAGAAGGCCTAATGGGCAATACAGTAATGGTATCACTTTTATGATATTGAGCGAATGTCTTATTTTGTGATGTTATAAAATTGTCAAATGTACAGACAATTAATACAGACGCATACCCCTGGTCTCATCAGCTGCAGGTCCAGTGCTAAGCTGCCCTGGCAGACAGACATTGTCTCCCTATGTCTACTGCAAGGTGGTGGCTGGACCATAGGAGGCTGACGGATACCAGAATGAAGGAGTCTTGGCTGTTGGTAGCCAGCACCCAGGGAGAGGTCAACAGCATTACCGGCTGGCATCCAGATAGTGTTGTTATCTATCAGGCATCTTATCCCATCTCCCATCACCACTGTTGGCAGGGGGGCAGGCGGGTCACAGACACTGTGACAGTGAATAGTTTACTAAACTGCCTGCAGAGTAATTCGCCATTTTGACAACACAGATGACTAAAACTTGAGTTAGGTCTTGGCTGTTGGTAGGCAGCACCCAGGGAGAGGCCAACAGCATTACCGGCTGGCATCCAGATAGTGTTGTTATCTATCAGGCATCTTGTCCCATCTCCCATCACCACTGTCGGAAGCCTGGGGGGCAGGCGGGTCACAGACACTGTGACAGTGAATAATACTAAACTGCCTGCAGAGTAATTCGCCATTTTGATAACACAGATGACTAAAAACAAAGGTCTTCTCAAAACAAGTCGATTATGTAGTGCGTCAAATTGTTATTTATACCGCTACATCTAAAAGTCTCCTAAATGTTTACGTGGCCGAGGCAAACCTCCTGTCATATCAACTGTACAGCTCAATAATATGAGAACTACATTCCTGATGAGACATATATTGTTGATCACAGGCGACTTTGAGAAGATCATTTCAATATACCTGGTGTAGAAGGATTCATTATTTTCTCCACTCCTTAAGCTCTGCGCTCTTTTAGAGTCGTACTGTTCACGATGAAACAGCGAAAATGTCTCTCTTTCAAAATGGCTGACACAGAAAGGTCTAACTGTTGTCATGACACCGCTACAGTCGACAGGAACACGCATGCGTCGAATTTATGCATAAGTGACACTTCCGTCTATGTGTATTGTAGATGTTGATAGATCTACATCAACACCAAGTATGTCAGCTGTTCCGATTTAACATGGAGAAGAAACGTTCATAAATCCAAACGTCTTTCCAAGGGAAGCTACTCTAGTAGAGTTTGCTATGTAAATAGAGTTATCCTTCTTGAATAAGGATTTTATGACTGTTTAGAAGAATAGTGAAAGTATTTGGCTTAAACGGTTATGTTTAACAAGATGGTGGTGGAGCGTTCCGCGTTAGGTAATATACACTGCCACAAGGCAGTCGTTGTATAGTTATTAAATAAATTTTGTTTATGTTGGGTACAGGAATAAAATCGAGTAAAATAAAGAATATTCAATGTGAAATGGATAAAAGGTACTGTAAAATAATTTTCCACAAAGTAGGTAATATGATTTTGTGTTTGAGAAATGATAATGTAAATTATCTTTCATGAATGAGAACAGAGGTTTGAAACTTGAAATTGTTTAATAGTATTGAAGGTAAGTGGTAGAGCGGAGGTATGGGCACATGGTGAAAAGGGAGATATGTGTGCAGGGCGGGGGAATGGAAGTATAACGGGAGGGCGGACATACAGACAGGTGAGAATGGGAGACATTTGGGGCATGGGGAATGGAAGTATAACGGGAGGGCGGACATACAGACAGGTGAGAATGAGGGACACTGGGGGCATTGGGAATGGAAGTGTAACGGGAAGACGGACATACGGACGGGTGAGAATGGGGGACACTGGGGGCATGGGGAATGGAAGTATAACGGGAGGACGCACATACTGACAAATGATAATGGGGCACGGGGAATGGGAGTATAACGGGAGGACGCACATACGGACAAATGATAATGGGGCATGGGTGAAAAGGGAGATATGTGTGCAGGGCGGGGGAATGGAAGTATAACAGGAGGGCGGACATACAGACAGGTGAGAATGGGGGACATTTGGGGCATGGGGAATGGAAGTATAACGGGACGGCGGTAATACGGACGGGTGAGAATGGGGGAAATTTGGCACATGGGGAATGCATGTAAACTGGAGGAAGGGCACACGGACAGGTGAGAATGGGGGACATTGAGGGCATGGGGAATGAAAGTATAACGGGACGACGGACATACGGACGGGTGAGAATGGGAAATGGAAGTATAACGGAAGGACGGACTTACGGATATGTTTGTGTTCAGAATGTGTTGGTGACAATAGCTGCAGGGTATAAGGACTACTTGGTGGAAGACCTCTGTGTGTTTCATGGTTATACCAGGGGTCGTTACTCACTGATCACGTTTGTCAGGTTTAACATGATTATCTTACATGCTAACACGATTCATGTCATTTCAATGTAATACAGCCACTTTCCTTAGTAACTGATCCATGGGCTCGTAAGAATACACATCAAGAAATACATTAATCCAATGCTATCCCAAAGCACGTGTGACCAGTGCTCTTCTAACTGACCCACCTCGTGTGTCCAGGTGTGAAAGGTTCACCAGTCATTCATGTTTGTCAGAATAATGTGTTGGTGGGAATGGTTGCTGAATAGTAACAGAACTTCATAGAGGACCAGCTTTGCTATGTAGTTTAATGTAAAAACGATTTGGTTCCCCCATAGTAAAAGTTCCATTCCAATATTTGTAACTAAATCATGTTTACATTAATGTGTTATGAAATCATCACAAGTGTCCCAAAGTGTGACCCACCTTTTGTGTGGAGATCAGAAAACGTTGACCAGTCACCTGTTCTTAAGACTGTGTTGGCCACATAATCGGCGTGGTATGATTATTACTTTATGGAGGACAAGCTGTTATCTGCTAAGTTGTGTATCGTCATGGTTTGTCTGGTCTAGGTGTGATCACTTTACATGCCACAATGCTGAAAAATCACCTATTATCTGAACCACTCACCCATTGGTTCAAAACCACAATATGTTCCATGTTTGTGCTGCTACACTCAGAGAACACCCATGGCTACAAAAAACCTCATAGGTTATACATGTCTCTTGGTTTGGAATGGGATACAGGTACTCTCTCAATTTCCCAATTGTGTTCAATGTCTGTGCTGCTAAATAGCCGAGGCTATACAGGTACTATGAATATGATGCTATGAAAATATGATACTGGTACTCACATTGTACCAAGTATGTTCAATGTTTGTGTAGCTACACAGTAGTGGTGGTCCGATTAATTGAAATAAACGAAATGTTGCAGTGACTAAACGACCAAGCAATCGATCATGTTTTCTCATAATCGAACACAAGCAATTCTGGAACACCTTTTGCATTAACAGTATTTTTCACAAGGTTGGTTTTGTCGGTTACATTTCCTGAGCACTACAAGCTCGTTCCAAGTCATGATTGAATTTATCTTAAAGACCCCAAGACATTTATGTTCCTAACATACAAGTCATCCTTTCAAGATGTGAAATTTGCAATAAAAACCTCCCAAGAACTACATGTTTTTTCTTTATGTTTTTGTGCATTAACAAAAATAAACAGGAAAATTTCATAAATGACGCTAACCAATTATTTTCGATGATTGATCGGTTGCAATGAAACAATCATCAATTATGAGATTTTAACCAATTCCCAACACTACTACACAGAGAGGAATACCTGAGGATAAGTCCTGTACCAGAGTACAAACCCAATGGACATACCCTCTGTTAATCCAGACACTGTATTGTGTAACTATTGCATTTAGTTCACTCTTAGATATGGCAATAAATACTCATATATTTTAATTTACTCAGTAACTGTGTTATCAAACTATTGCAATTGTTTATCAGTCACACACTTATAGTATAATCTCAGTACACTCAAGAAACCTTGAGGCTATGCAAGAATTACAACACCATCATGGGGATGTCTGTCTGTTGGTTTGAAGAATGATCGGTACTCACTTTAACCACACCAAATATGTTTTCATGTTTGTGTTACTACACACAGAAGGATACCTGGCTCTAAGTACTGCACCAGAGGACATATTCATTGTACATTACATCTGTTGTCTGCTTACACTACACTGCAAGTATCATATAAACATGTTACTCACTCTCAGATACAGTAATAATTGAAGCGGCTCATATGTACTCTCATTAGTATGACATCTTTTTTGCAGGAGTTTATGGTTCAGGACAATTGCTCTGGTCAAGCTTGATTTGTGTGACACTCAGGTTTGAAATCAAAGACAACCATGGTGAATTGTCTTTGAAGAGCGATATGATTATGGTGACAATATAAAACTGTGTTTACAAACGCAACCAGTGCATATACAGAATAACATTGCCTTGGCAATGCTGTTTACTCTCCACATTTGCCACTTGAGTATCTTATGATTGGAAATATTAACACCACTCCACTAAAATAGTTCCTCTACTAACAACAGAACACAAGTTCAGTATTTAAAATAAGACATAACTACTATTTAAACTGCAAAGAGATATTTTATTAAGAAACAATGTTGTCATAACGTTAAAACAGATACATATATTTCAGTTCCATTGTAAACAAACAACCCCAAAACCGCCATTCACAGCCATTCCTATCCAGTCATCAAACTTACGCTGATGATGATGTATAAACATCAGCATACCCACTATAAACCAATATATACCTACCTGTCCCCTCCACCTTACAGTATTTAGAAGAAGTCCCTGGTGCCAGATGACAGACTGGAGCTGTACTCAGCCAAGAGAGCTTCCAGGTCCTCCAGAGAGTCCTGGTGTGGCTCCAGAGCGTCCTGGGGCTCCTCCAGTCTTGTCTGCTTTGCAGCTTGGGGTACCTCACTGCTGTCATCTGGACACTTCCTCTTGCGTGAGGGTTGGGACTCTTTGCAGGGCTCAGCAGTGGGTTTCCTCTTTTTCCTTAAAATAATTTTAGTAAGGTAAAGATATTCCACATCATATTCATCATCAGAGCTAGGATCAGCTTTGTCCATTGCCTTGGCAGGATTAACATTTACTGTTGCACCATTGGTAGCCGCAGAATTAGAATGCTCTAATGCTGAAGCAGCCTTATCTTTTACATTCTTATCAGGGACAGGCAATGTCCTTGGTAAAACAGACTTTGGCTTTAAGTAAGCTTCATCAGCAAACAGTAATTCTTCAGCAAAACTAAGCTTACATGAGGACTTAATGATACCATTACCACCTGAGGGCTTAGTGATACGGTTCCCCAAAGGTCTGCTCTGGGTTTTGATGTGCTTAGCTCCAAGAGGCTGAGGCACAAAGTAGGGCTTGCTCTCAGGCTGATGCTTGCTCATTGTCTCTTTAGGAATGCGAGGCTTTGGTTGAGGTTTTGGCCTGAACGTTTTGGGCTTTCGTTTGCAGGGCTTCAGCTCAGGTTTTCGCTTTAGTTGGAGTTTAGGGTTGTTTATTGTAGACATAGCAGGCATGTCAACACTGGCTAGAGACTGGGGAGGAGGAACTGGATTGGGTAGGTCAAGTTGGGGCAGAACACAGGAGAAGGCCTAATGGACAATACAATAATGGTATCACTTTTATGATATTGAACGAATGTCATATTTTGGGTAAGACTACAGAATACTGGATACCTTCCGCCATCTTTGAAGTTTACTTAGGGTTACGGTAAACTTTAGGGTTGAGGTAAGGTTTAGAGTTAGCGTTAGGGTTAGGGTGACGTGACACCAAACAATATGGCTGGTAGGTTTCCGTTATTCTGTAGCTATACCTCATTTTGTTCTGTTGTAAAATCATCAAATGTAGAGAAAATACAAAAGCATACCTCTGGTCTCATCAGCTGCAGGTCTTGTGCTAAGCTTGGCTTGCAGACAGACGTTGTCTCCTCATGTTCACTGCAAGGTGGAGGCGTGACTGTAGGTGGTTGGTGGCTACCAGGCTGAGCTCCAGAATGAATAAGTATTGGTTGTCGGTAGGCAGCACCCAGGGAGAGGCCAACAGCATTACCGGCTGGCATCCAGATAGTGTTGCTATCTATCAGGCATCTTGTCCCATCTCCCATCACCACTGTCCGAAGCCCGGGGGGCAGGCGGGTCACAGCCACTGTGACAGTGAATAGTTTACTAAACTGTCTACACAGTAATTCGACATTTTGAAAACATAGATGACTAAAACTTGGGTTAGGTCTTCTCAAAACAAGTCGAATATTCAGTGCGTCATGTTGTTATTTATACCGCTACATCTAAAATGTCTTAAATGTTTACGTAGCTGAGGAAAACCTCCTGTTATATCAATTGTACAACTCAATAATATGAGAACTACATTCAGACATTGACTGGGCAGATGTTGATGGCTCGACACATCATCGTCTTTGGAATTTCTCCATTGTAAACACTATATAACAATCACAGGCGGCTTTGAGAAGAACATTTCCATATACCTGGTGCAGAAGGATTCATTGTTTTCTCCACCTCTTCAAGCTCGACACACGTTTAGAGTCGTATTTTGTACGATAAAACTGCAAAAACGTCTCTCTTTCAAAATGGCTGACAAGGAAGATCTAACTGTTGTCATGACGCCGCTACAGTCGACAGGACCACGCATGCGCCGAATTTATGCATAGGTTACACTTCCGTCTTTGTGTATTGTAGATATTGATAGATCTACATCAACACCTAGTATGTCAGCTGTTCTGATTTAACATGGAGAAGAAACGTTCTGAAATTCGAACGTCTTTCAAAGGGAAGCTACTCTAGTATAGTTCGCTATTCAATTAGAGTTATCCTTCTTGAATGAGGATTTTATGAGCACTTGCAAGAATTATGAAAATATTTGGCTTAAAAGGTTATGTATACTGGGATGGTGTTGGAGTGTTCCAGGTTATGTACAGTGCACTGTCAATCCCCAGGCAGTCATTATATAATAATAAAATGTACTTTGTTTATGACCATGTAAGTTGTCAGGTTCTCTGTGTGTTCTGGGTTGACAGTGCTTCAACGGCTACTACAGGCAAAAGTAGTCTTAAACGTATATAGAGTAAGTAGAATAGAGGTAAAACAAAAAAGTACTTGGTATATGACCCGATGGTGGGCACATGGATACGTTGAAACACCTAGTTGCGGGTAGAACAAGGTGCAGTAAACTTGGATAAAGTACTGTCACTATGTGTCCCAGTCCACCCAGCTGTGAATGTGTACCTCGTAAGGGAAATAACTTGGTGTGGCAGTAAGAGTTGTATGGTCCCCAGGGAGTTGAGATTGATAATAAGATGTGCCGTTGAAATTGACATCCAGTAATCGAGGGGAAAAAATACCAGCGCCTTGAGCATGCACCGATGCGTGGATATATATGGACTATGTAAATATCCAATGATAAAAAAAAAAAAAAAACTCTCAAGTTCAAGAACATTGTTGACTTTTATTTCAGTCGAACCCCGTTTATCCGGACATTTTGGTTACACTCGGAAATCGTCCGGATATTGAAGGCGTCCGGTTAACTGGATCAAACAAGCAAAACGTATTGACGGTGTATACTCATGACGGTTGTCACCCCCTCCCCTAAAGGCATGTATATTGAAAATTTATTCACGTACATGTATGTATATCAATAAATCAATAGTCAATAGTAAGAACAATGAATCATAACATCATAACATTCTTTCATCACGTTGACTCACATTAACATTACACATCTTACTTCATCACGTTGACTGTAGCAATAATTTCCATAAAAAGTCTGTCATAGATGTTTGTTTTCTTGGTTTGATTTCTTCCAGTTTCCTCACTAAGTCCATCACTAAATTCACCGAACCTTCGTCGCCATTACATTCGTAGAATGTCAGCAATTGTTGTTTGCGTGTTCAAGAGCTTGTGCTACTGTTGGAGCGACAACTGTTTGTTGTTCATCGTCATCAGACTGGTCGTCTGTCGGTGCTGCACTCTGTTCATGATTTGACAGTGTCTTCATCCACATACTGCTCAGCAGTTGGGACTTCGTCGACATCACTTCGTGGAAACTGCTGCATCAAATTCCGCAGCTCAGCAAGGGGGATGTCCTCGTCGTCTTCGTCCGGAATTATGTCAACGTGTTTGTAGCCATTGGTGATACACTTGTCACTCACTTCATCCCAGGCAGACTTAACGAACCGGATTGCTAATCTTAGTGTTAGCGTCTGGGGTTGTCCATTCTCAGCACATGTGATGTAGTGTTTAACTAGCGACTTCTTGTAAAGGGCTTTAAAGTTCCTGATGATACCAGCGTCCATTGGCTGAATGTGAGCAGTGGTGTTGGGAGGAAGGCAGTGTACAGTGACGTTGGTCAGTCGAACGTCCCTGTGATTAATTGAAATTTCGTCACTAAAACATAATCTATTAGCTCCTGCCTTTCATTGACAGAGCGTGAAGACGTGTTCAGTACAGGAGTAAAATGAGGAAAAGTCAATGTGAAATAGATGACAAGTTAGTGAAATCCTTGTCACAAAGTAGGAAATGTGTCTTTGGGAACTGATATAGAGTCTCATGAAAGAGGACAGCGATTTGAAAATTGTTTAATAGTATTGAAGTAAAGGAGTAGATCGGAGGTTGGGGCAGATGGTTGAAAAGGGAGATATGTGTGCAGGGGAGGGGAAAGCCAATATAACGGGACCACGGACAAAGGGGCAGATAAGATTGGAGATATAGAAGGTAGGGGAAGAGGTGTGCTAGGAAAGGACAGACATATGTGAAGGTGAGAAGTATAACATGCGGACGGGGACATGGACAGGTGAAAATGGAGATATAGCACGCATGTGAATGGAGAAACAGGTAGGAGATGAGGGTAGAAGGGTAGTATAGTGGATGGGAAATTGAGAACAAATTAGTAGGAGAGGTGGGACGCGAGACATGAGAGGAGAGAAGAAGAGAGGAGGAGAGAAGAAGAGAGGAGGAGAGAAGAAGAGTAGGAAGGAAGGTTTTGCGACCGGGATAGGAACATGAGGGGAAACGGAGACACGGGAAGAGAAGAGGGACATAAAACTGTGTCGGGTAATCTGAGTGGTATTACGACAAACTATACCTGTTATAAATTCACTAACTGACCATCAGGTGAATGATGACAATTATACAGGTGTAGGTTTATACCACCACACATGGGCTGCAGCAAGGGAGTAGTAAGTACTGCATTGTATGGGATCAAATTGGATTAGTCATCAACGCATCAGGAAAATACGAAAAAGCTTACACTGCTGGGATACTTTATTACAATCAGACAAGAACTACTGTGGATACTTTCAAATATCGGTATCTGATGGGCATCCGCCGTTCTTATTGGCCTGTTGATTAGGTTGAAGAAACTCTGCCAAAGTAGAGAGCTGCCCATGTGCAGTTCCCGCGTCCGACACGGTCGAGGGGAGCGGGGACTGACCACCTGACGTAATTAGATTGTTGGCCCTAAACATTAACGCTAAACATTAATCGCTCTGGATCAGTGCCCTTTTAACAGGCAACGCGTTTTAGTGTCACAGTCGAAACGTAATGTAGATAATACTTACACCTACGTAGAAGATACTTTACTTCGACGTTGATGATACCTCAGGGAGATGAAGTAGGGACATTCATGCTGTGTCATCATCTTTGTGGATATCTTTATACATGTATACGTACTACTGAACACTGCTGAGCTCCACCTCGGCTTCACTAACGAGATCGGATGGTCAGGCTCGCTGACGTGATCGACACATATCATCGTATCCCATTTGTGTAGTTAGATGCTCATGCTGATGATCACTGGTCTGGTCCAGACCCGACAATTTCAGACCGCCGCCATATAGCTGGAATAGTGCTGGGTGCGGCGTAAAACTAAACTCACTCACGCACTGAAACTATATCCAGTCTGGGGTCGTAACGCTGCTTCATAATGTCGGTAACGACACATACATCGTCTACGTAGACGACAGAATCGTCTACGTAGATGAAAGTATCATCTGCGTAGATGACAATTTTTTACACTGAGGCTCAAATACGCTTCCATATTAAAACTAACACGTAGCCAGTCACTCAGATGGTGGTGTTTGCTGGTGATGTAAGGATATCACAAGTCATCAGTTGGAACAACGCCTTTACAATACATCAACAATGCGTGACGAGAATACGTGATCATCCATCAGTGCACAGTTTGTAATAAAAATTAGCGATACATCCAAACAGGACGACATTTAATGTTTGTTAAAAGCAGCATTGCAATTATTGCCACATTAGATTTTATTCCAGCACATCAAGGCCACTTGGACTTTGGACTTCTGAAAAAGGTTTGCTCAATACCCAATGTAATGTAAAAAGTACTGTTATGTGGCATTATTATTCATTGTATAACATTGTACACCAGGGGGCATTGTTGTATATTTAGACAGAGTTCTGGAAGGTACTACAGGGTACTACAACTCTATGGGCCTTTCCACTATATTCTGACCAAAGGAGTTGAAGAAACCTTCTGGAGTCTTTTTCTTAGGTATATAAGGGAGTTAACTCTTGCCTCTCATCTCACATTACAGCTTCTTCTTAGCCAGTACTACACTATGAACTCAGTTCCATTGTTCAGAAGGATGTAAACCCAAATGTGGTGAGAGCGATTTCTGAGGATTTTTTTCGGGAACGACATACAAATTTCACACACACATATATACTGACGCCTCCAAGGATTCGGGGGGCGGTGGGGTAGCCTAGTGGTTAAGGCGTTCGCTCGTCACGCCGAAAACCTACGTTCGATTCCCCACATGGGTACAATGTGTGAAGCCCATTTCTGGGGATATTGTTGGGATATTGCTAAAAGCGGCGTAAAACCCAACTCACTCACTCACTCCAAGGATTCGGCCATGATCCGTACTGCTAGAGCTTTCTGGATCCCTGATTATAGTATCTCCGTTGTGTTCAGGCCTCATGATGCCAGATGCAGCAGAACTTATAGTAATTCTATACAATCATTGAGATGGCAGGATAAATATAATTATGAAGCAGTCATTTTTACCGGTTCATTGTCAGCTATTGATTCTAGAGTTAATCGGTCCAGAAAGGATATTGTTTACGAAGTTTGAAACCAAACACAATTGTGAATACTAAATATATATCTTGTGATATTGTATTGGTTCCAGCTCATGTCGTTTTGCAGGATTATGAAACAGCAGATAGGGTAAGGATTGCTAAAGGATGAAGTTGATAATTTGGAATTCAGGCCTTGTCAACGAGATTTTGAATGTGCCTTTGGGAAGTCGGTCTCCTTTTAAGTGGCAAAACTTGTGGGATGTTGGATCTGCTTGAAGACACCTGTACAGATTCTGTTCTTCAGTAGCACAAAATTGTAAAATTCGCCGTCGGAAGAGGCGTGATGAAGTTGTTTAACTAGTATAGGCCACTTCTTGGTCACTGTGCACTTAATGCCTACATAAGTGTTGTTGATAAAGAAGTATCACCTGTTTGTGCTCAATGCAGTGATAAGATGCCTGAAACAGTTCAGCGCTATCTATTGGAGTGTCCACGGTATGTTAACATCAGACAAAATCTTAGAAGTGCAATGCTCGAGAAAAGCGATACATTCTCCCTTGCTGCAACACTGGACCCCAACCTTCTATACGGTTCAATCCAAAGGGCTATATTAGAGTAGGTTACTGCATCAGGCAAATATGAGACAATCTAAGCACATGTCGTCCAGTAGAAACCTTAAACAAAATATATGAATTGCTTTTAAATCGTTTTAACCTTTCTTTTTCTGTTTGATTTTCTGCTTTTTTTTATTGAACAAGCATCATATTTTTGTGTTTTGTTGGGTTTTTTTGCTCCATCCCAAAACAAAAATTGGTTGCTTGATGTCTTGATACAAGTCACTCAGCAGAAGATCATGTCCTCTTTTCTTCTTTTTTTTTCATAAACATTTATATTTGCAGTATGCCTACTTATATTTGTGATTGTTCAACTTTAATTAATGTACAGTTGTGTTGGGCGCAAATAGACCCTACTTCTGGTTCAAGTCGCGTAAAACTATATCCTCACCACCTCACATTACATCTCGTATACTATTTTAAATCATGTCTTTCAGTGGCATTTAGAAGTTGTACATTGATGTCCAAGATATTTTTATGGATTAAACTTCTTTTTTAATTTCTCTCTACTGGTGAGAGAAATTAAAAAAGAAGTTTAATCCATAAAAATATCTTGGATATTTTAAATCAGTTCAGCAAATGTAGTGCACAGACTGCAAGTATGAATATATACATCAATGTGTTTGGCGCCTTGGCAGTACGTGAACATGCGACCCCCAGACTTTTAAGTAGGCATTCCACCATCTGTTGTATGCCTGTTTGGACCAAAATTTACAAAAATGCCCGTGGATTTAGGTGATGCTTAAATACTGCTCATGTGCATACATGTTACAAATAAGGAATATAAATCTTTCGAAAACGTCCTATGTAGGACGTCATACGCTGTTACTATGCGGTCCACGCGTGTTGAGAAATTACCATATAGATAAGCTGTAGGCCTTGTCTGCAAGCATCCTGTATACAAGCCAGATTTCCTGTGAGTCATTGTGAACTCTGCGTCAGGATCCACATCACAGCTGTTCCGATCAACTCACCCACACTGACTCCTGTCAACGACAGCTTTAAGGTAATCGCTGACTTGTAATTTTATATAAGTTCTTTTTGAGTTTTGTTATCCCGATATATAACGCCAACCTCAACAATATTCCAGCAATATAATGTAGGCCTAATCGAAGTGTTGACAAGTCAAGAGTGTGAATTATCAATCTCTTTCAATCAGATGTTAGTTCTTGCTAAACAATGTTTCCATTTTAATGAGATTGGTGATTAATATTAGGAGCAAAGACATCGTTCTGCGATGACAATGAAGCAGATATTGTTGTTGTTGTCGCTGTTACTTGTTGTCATTGTTAACGCCGCGTTCTGTAGTTCCTTCAATATGAGGTCGACCTGTCAGTCACTCATTCTTGATAATCAGAAGTATGTATATTAATATTATGATATTATGTTTCTCCTGTAAAGGTCTATTTTGGATGATAATTAAGTTCAGAAGTCTTTCCCAGTGTGGCGTGACTACGTGACAGTCAAACGAAAACAGGATTTGTGCTCTGCATAAATGCAGAGACCATAACATAATCTATAAATGCTTTAAATAGTGAAATTGCAACGCGCTAATAATTTCATTTGCTGTCTATTTTTGACTTTACAATGCTTACAGTTAATGTGTCAAAAAATGTTTTGTTTTTTTCTTCTTCTTTGTCTTTTCTCTCATGAAACAATAAGTGGGACTATAACTAGGGGACGGGTTGACGAAGGGACAAACTGCATGACTCCACAGTAAATTATTGGTCTTGAACTCGTGATCTGCGATCCAACTCCAAAGAAGTTATTCTTGTTGCAATGCGCGTCCTCTCAGCGGATCAATAGACGGGATCCTAGTCATTTATTGTCACCATTGCTCTTCCGGTACGCTTGTGGTTGCCATTGACTTCGTTTACAGAGATTTTAAGGGTAAGATTAAAAGGGCTATTCTTTTGTAAACTTCAGAGATCATCATGAAATGTTTTGTTTGTGTACGGTTCCCTACGTAGTGTTAAATAAAACTGTCCGGTTTCTTAACTCTTGATGTTTCGTGAAACTGATTTGTGTCCGGTTTTGGGTCAAATCCTTTCCGGTAAACCCGGCGTTTTCTAATGGGAGTGGTGCTTGATAAATAATCGTGTGAGTTTGATATAAACTAACATTAGTATGAAATGGTTAATAGTTAAAAGATCTCTATTTTGTGGGTCAAATCATAAATGGCAGTTTTATCAAGTTAGCTTTAAGTTATTCATCTTCGTCCGATAACTTTATGAATTACTATCAGCTGATGACATGGGTCATCCGGTGTGATTTCCCTAAGTACACGGTCATGTTTCACACGTGGTACTAATCACAGCAAGTGGACAAGGTAAAGGGCAGGTTAATGTAATGACAATGTACATTTCATAGTAATATATATTGTTGGTGCATGGATAATACCGATGTGTACCCCAGGTACATCTCTGTACCCTCTTAAAAGTTGCATTTAGAAAGTTGGTGTGATAAACAAAGGGGATGATTCTATGGAATTACAACTCTTTATTACAATGTCTTGTACAATACATTTCGGTTTCATTGTGGTCTGTTGTCCTGTGTATAGAGCCCAGGTCACAAGTCAGTTGAAGTTAAGCAATATTTGTCAAGGAGAGTCCTCAGATGGGTGATTATGTTTGGCAGGTTGACTGTTGAGAGTTTGTAGGACTTCAGTTCTGCCCTCACCTTAGGAAAGTAACTTTATTAAAAAAAGTGCCTCTGTTCACAGTGTTCACGAATAGCGTCTGACCCTCTGACAAAGCCGGCAGATTTGCCAACGGTCTGATAGAAATCTACAACCCGCCGGCCCCAGTTTCTGACTGTATATTTCACAAGGACTTTGACTGAAGTTGTTATATGTGACATGTGACACTTGTTTGCTGTTTATAAATCCTATGTTTGTTAATAATTTCAATGCCAATATAAGAAATATTAAATCTGAAATGTGTGTTTAATTTTATTCTATGGGTCCTGTGAATTTTTCAATGGGTCAGACAGACATATGAAATCTTACTTTGAAACACCATTCGTGAACACTGGTTCACCCAGCAGTGAATCGGTACCCTGTGGGATAAGTCATGTGACTATTAACCTTCTAGTGCCTCACAGGCAGCTTGGGTTAAACGGGGTAATAATGTGTTAGCGACTTGAACGTGGATACAGGCGCTTTATCATGTTTATAAATAGCCATTATTTTGTATTATATGCTAACACCGTTATCAAGCAGTTCACTACTGCATGTTCCTTGGTGCAGTTTTTGTAACTGCAATTATTGTAATCTGTACAAAGTTTGCGTTGTTCATCTTGGTTGTGTTTGCAGGGCCAATGTTATTTTGATCCCATCTCACTGCAGCTTGAAGATGAGTGATGGAATCTCTATGGGAGCTCAGGGTCTGTTAAAGGAGGTGCAGACTGAAGTGTCCAAGAAGAATCTACCCTCCCTAATAAAGCGGCAGTTTAAATCATTAAGTGCTGAGAATGGCCCCTCTATAAGAATATTTCAATGGAACATCTTGGCGCAAGGTACTTTCAATGCTATGTATTTCTTTTCTGAAGTAGAAATGGATGTTTTTGTGCACCACAGCACTCTGTGATGTTTAGTTTGGCTCTTTAGAATAGACATGTCGCTACAAAAAGATGATTTTAGTCAGTGCGTCAAATCTGGTTATCTGTATCATGTGTCTGTTAGTCATGGTAATCTATATATGCCTTCGTCACGATATGGCTGAGATATTGCCGATGTGACGTTAAATATTAACTCACTCACTCACTATATATGCCTACCATCATCACTACGGAAGGGTCATCCAGGGATTTACAGGATGCGAATTCCTGTGTCCTATACGCATAATAATTGACAATGGACGCAACAAAATATATTAGTGCAGGGACGCAGAAAAAGTCTAAATACTTTTTAAAAAAAATCCAATCAGGTGACAATACGTTATCACTGAGTTTGCTACTAGCTTGGTTTTGGTATTATTTGCAATTTGATTACTGTAACAATGTGATGATCATGATACACAATACAATAGCAGTATTAATAATAATATATAAGTGTCCGGGACCCCCATTTTGTTGTCCAGGACCCCTGAAAATTAAGAGCATGAGTCCCAGGGACCCTCAAATACAAGACTCCATGTAAATCCCTGGTCACCTGAACATATGCAAACAACATCCGAATATGATGACAGTGTGAACTAGAGGCGACTAACGGCTGGTCACTCACTGATTTCACACATACCATCGTATCCCAATTGTGAAGATCGATGCATATGGTGTTGATCATTGGATTGTCCGTTCCAGGCTTGATTATTTCCAATCCGCTACCATATAGCTGGAATAATGTCGAGTGTGGCGTTCAACAAAAAACAAACAAATATATTGTGCCTATGTCACACTGATAAATGAAACTAAAAATTGGACAGTGACTATCAAAGACCATGATGAGTATGTGATTGAAGGTAATGAATAATGCCACCCAAAACAAAACACATATCATTTTAAGAATACAAATTGTTGAAACATTGCATCAAAAAAGCCATTTTGCGAGGCAGAATTTCAGTTTTAATTTTTCAGCTTGTTAAATTTGAAAAAATTATAAATGAACATTCTAAAATCCTAATGCAATAAATTACAAAATGATCTTTTTGTTTTGTGTGAGTCTTTACCAGTCTGTGTGTGCGTATCAAGTATTGTGTATCAAGTTGTATGTATCTTCTACATACCTGTTATGTTTGTATTTTCAGCCTTGAGTCAAGGTGATGACAACTTCGTGCTGTGTCCCCCCTGAAGCTCTAGATTGGGACAATCGGCATTTACACATCTTGGAAGAACTGCTCACCTACAATGCATCAGTGCTGTGTCTTCAGGAAGTGGACAAATTCTCATTTTTTGAGGAAAAACTGAAATCTGAAGGATATAAGGGTGTATTTTTTCCTAAGCCGTACTCACCTTGTCTAGACTGTGAAATCTCATACGGACCTGATGGATGTGCAGTTTTCTGGAAAACTGATGAGCTCGAGCTCATCAAGCAGGAGAACGTTGTTTTGCAGAATTTCATGGGATATGAAACAAATCAGGTCTCCATCATCTGTAAGTTTCAAACGAAGAATGACAGCAAGCAGTTCTATGTTGCTGCGACCCATCTTAAGGCAAAGAACGGATTTTCAGATGTTCGATATGAACAGGGACATTTTCTTAACGGTATCCTTGAGTCCATGACTAGTGATGATCCGGTGATTGTCTGCGGAGATTTCAACGCTGAACAGACAGAGCAAGTCTATGAAGTGTTCAAGAAGAGTAAAGTGGGGCTGGCCAGCTCCTATGCTCAGCTGTCTGGTGATGGGTCTGAGATTCCCTTCACCACGTGGAAGGTCAGAGGAGGGATTAACGTCAAGAGGGAGCTAAGTCGGACTATTGACTATGTGTGGTTTACACCGAGAAAGTTGTGTCTGAAATCTGTGTTGATGATGCCAACCATTCATGAGATTGGGGAGAACAGGCTACCATCACACACTTACCCTTCAGATCACCTGTCGCTGGTCTGTGACTTTGTACTGAAGTAATTGATAATTCTTGTGTGGAACATCTGTACGTTGACCTTCATCCTCTCCGTGTCCAGGGCTAACATTTCGGTAAACCTACACTGATCCATTGAACCATTCCTGAGGTTCTAATTACAAATTACCTCCTTTGAATTTCCATTTTTCTGACCAGTCAAATGTCTTCAAATGATATATGTTATATCGTTTGTAATTTGGGTCATATTTAGCGATTCTACAAATAAACATCTTGAATCTTGAATCAAATGATTACAGAAAGGTAAGGGAGGTAACTCTTATTACCCAGAAACCAAAGGCAGTTTCAGTGGACATGGAGACATCCTTTCCCTCATTGGACGGTATTGGACGGCTTTCTTTTGCGTGACAGTTTTCAGTATTATATTTCTTGCAAACTCAATCATAATCAATGGGACTGGATGCCATGTTGCTGATATTGCCGACCCAAAAATGAAGCTGGTTTGAAACTCACATTCTGATTGGTACATTAGTCCTGGTAGTGTAGCCAATCAAACTGGCTAATAGAAATCAGAGAGATTTGATGTGAGACTGTGAGAGCCACAGGAATCGATCATCGGGTTAGTGAAGGTTTTTCTTTAATTGTTGTCCTGGAGATAGAGAGGATGGGATATTTTGCTGAGGGACAACCATTTTATTTTGACTGGCATTTCAGTTCTTTTTTGACACATGTTAAAAAGAGTATTTCCTTTTCATACATACTAAAGCCTTGTTTGCCAGTTTTCAAAAGTGGATTGAGATCATCCGTTGGCACGATTTGCTTGGGCTGGACAAGTTACCCTGAGCCTCTCACCAGAACTGAGAATGGACCTTTTCTCATGCAATTTATCTCCTTCACTCACAATGACTTGACCAATACCCCTTGCTTATGACATGCCAGTGGTACCAATGACAGCTGATTAATTATGCTTTATTTCATTAAGAATTTATAAATACCTGAATAACGATTAAACAGTGGCTATAAAAATCGCAGGAAGAAATGTCTGATTGACAGCCTTTTTAATGTGTCTAAATACTGAAGGTATGTAAATCTGTGCCAAATAGTTTGGAGTCTACAAGGCAACATCTGCTCTTAGCACCAACTAGACTTTAGAGGTAGTAGAGGAACGGTAAATAGTTTTTGAAAAGGTAATTATGTTTAGTGCTACACTCTGATGTTCTGGCTATATGACAGCTAGATGATAGTAGAGCTTACAAGACAATAGAGACTTTTACTAGACATTTCGACTGTTAGCATTATTTGACTTAGAAAATGTTGTCTTGTATATGCTTTAGTTTCTTCACATAATTAGGCCTAAAGTAAGCTTTTGATCCACAGGACTGTGGGTTCCTTTCAGGAATTTGATTATCAGCAATGGACACAGATGCTTCTTCACAGCATGTCAGTAGGATGGTCTTCCTCTTGAACTTTGCACTTCTCCATCTTATTGCTCCTTTATAACTGCTCTCAGATCTGTCTCTTTACATCAACCTTTCGACTGGACTTTATACATCTTGCTGCACTTTGAATATGCTTCTGAGCATGGAAAAGCACATTCAAAACTGACAGTAATTATATATGGTATATTGTTTGCTATTGAATCAGAAGTGGAACTCTCTGTATTATGGGACGGGAAACTCATTGATGTATGAAGGCGTCAAAATGGCAAGATGTAGATCTGAAACATGGTATCTTTGAAGGCAGTTAGAAGTAGGATGAACATGAATTCATAGTGCTTTCATGGATAACATCTCTTGTTTTCTGTGCCATTGTCTCAGAGCTACTTCTTCGCCTTTCAACATACTGAGTGATGATATGTTAATGCAAGTTCTAGGATGTCTAGCAGTTAAAGCAATCGGAGAAAAAATACATTATCAGACAATAAAGGTATAGTTTTTTGATGACGTAACAATTGAATGATGTTTTCCTGTCACTGCGCCATTGTAGTCTGCCCCCTCGTAGTCGAACCATTTTACATTATGTCACAATGTAAGCGACGTCACGATGCATGTCAGTTGTCATCGCCTCGTACGGCCTCCTACAGTAAACTACTCCGTTGCATCCCGTTTCGTGGTTTGCAGTTGCTTCACGCAGCTAACAACACTGGTGGAAACATTACGTTTATGTTTTACGACGGTTAAAATGTGTCAATTGACTCACAAGTTTTCAGCGACACGGTAACGTTCGCAATGTTGACATTCCCACAATGCAATCCTGGAATGTCGCTTGACTACTCAGCTTCATCTGGATGTACTGATCTAAACTTATGTTGGTAATAGAAATGCGACGTTGATGTTGCCCCATATGGTTTACGTTAATGACAGATGTAATTAAAAATAATTCAGAGAAGATATTTAATCCAAACGTAAACCGTCATCAAACTGTTATCATTTGTATTTTTCTGGTAACGTTCGTCTTAACTTAGGGGGGCAGACACATCGTACTTTAACGTTATAATAGTTCAGGGCGAAAGCGTGCTTTATTACACTGTACATGGTGGTAGAGCGAACTGAATTTCTTAAGTAGGATTATGTACAAAGATAACAACATTATGATGAAGCCAATGCGATCCACAGGACAGACAGCCAGACATGCACACACAACACATGCACACAAAAAATATATATGAATCTTTGTTGTTGCCAGGAAATGGTGGTCAGGATTTGGATTTGGGCATGTTCTGAAAGGGCAGGATTCATGTAAGATTCCTTGTGTGTCCTATTCTGTTGGCAATGAGGTGTGAAGTGTCTCCAGTAAATGTTTCGACATGAAATCCCAAACACATATCAACACATGTTTTGGGTGAACGTGATGGGACCTAACCATTGGCTTGTAAGATGTTTGTAAGTGTATTGTTGAGGATGAATGTCACATCTTTGTTGACCGTTATCTGTTAATCAGGAGTCTGGTAGGGGTTTGGTACGGGATGCTGATGTGAGATGCAGATGATTTGAACTAGAAACAGGATATTTTTACAGTATTTCATTTAACACAATCGCACATAGTCATATTTTACCTTGGATATTTTACCTTCACAAGTTGAAGCACTGATCTCTGATGCAGCCTTGTATACTCACTTGTGATATGTGTACATATCTGTGACTGTGATATTTTCAAGAATTGTTAGTTTTAATGAATGAAATACCTCAAAAGTAGATAGGCTAATACATTCTGTCGTTACAGGAGGTACCAGGCTTGAAGAATAAGCTTTATGTTTCATTTGCTGACGTGAAGGTGTGTTTCTAGTTGGTCTCCCAGACCCCAGAGAATAAATTAATAAGTAATCCCACTTTTACTTAAATGTAAATAATTTGGTAAGTGTAGAATGCCTCAATTCTTGCCCTGAAATTAACCATTGCCCTGGGCTGTATTTGGATTTTATGTTTTATTTTGTACATATTTTCAATATCTTTCTGGGGCTAAATGTTTGTTGTTTAACGCCATGCTCAGCAATATTCCAGCTAGATGGCAGCTGTCTATAAATGGTTGTACCATGTATGTAGCATATCACTATGTCTTTGTATTCCTGGTTTGTTTCAGGTGTGTTCCGTTTTATGATTAATGAAAGTTAAAGAGAAAGCAGTGTTTGATACTTGTATACATAATTAGAGAATCAAAATGAGAAATCCATGTTATAATCAGATTTGATATTCACAGAAATATTTTTCTCAAAACAGGCCAAGCTTTTTCTGTTTTATTCTGATTCTGACATTCTTTTTTATTAGTGTAAACTTTCTTTCTTTTTCATTTTTGATATTGATAGTGAATGATAAAATATTGAAAAGAAACCAAACACAATTTTTGTCACTATCACTATGATGATTTATTTACAATAATATAATTAAATGTGTTGAAATTAAACATTTCAAAACAATGAATTTCAAGAGGAAAGAGAATATATTTGAAGTTTCAATTTATACAATTTTTTCAAACTAGTAACGCAATATCTGTTGCATTAGAAACTGAGATGTTTTTACAGGGTATGAAGAAGAGAATGGTAGAATTACAATGGAAGACAAACAGAATTGAAGCATACAGTATGAGTATGCAAGAAGATCACAATCATATTAATTCAGATCTTTGTGTTCACTACCGGTACACAAAGCGTTATCAAGCACTAGGATCCAAGTTTGATGAGAATGGAAGGATCATTACTTAGATGGGTCTTTTGTTGCCATACCAGCACTATATTACACAACGTTTGATAGGGATATGTTTATTATCAGTATTCTGTTATATTCCCAACTGCTTACTTATATTCATATGTAAACTCCCTTCAGCTGGTGGGTACCCGGTAGTACTGTCAATGGTACTGCTATCAATGGTGAAATTAAGTGGCTGCAAATTTTATAACATACATAGGGTATTACTTCTCTTGGGGATTATGTGTCCAAAAGTTGGCGTCAAATGACATCTTGATTCATTACTTACAGCGGAGCCCCATTAATATGGACCCCAGATGTCTGTAATCAAGACGTTTGCACCATGTATATAACACCGTCCCGGTATGTGCTTTCTGATTGGCCTATGTTCTCAGATCCTTGTGTAGCAGTAGTGAGGTGAGGTGAGGTGAAATTGGGTTTAACGTCGTGCTTGAAAATATTTCGCTCTTATGACGACGTGCATGCGTGTGTATGTGTATGTGCGGCTGCTTGTACTAGCCCAGACTTAAGCTGGTTTTATAGTGCTAGCCCACTGAGATACCACGCGGCAGTGAAGCATGAATACCCCACTCAGACACATTATACTGACTCCGAGCCGACCAGTCCTTCAAGTACCCATTAATGCCGAGCGCCAGGCAGGGACCAACAAGTACCATATTTTAACGTCTTTTGGTATGACACGGTCGGGGATCGAACCCGCGACCTTCCGCTCTCGGGGCGGACGCTCTAACCACTACACCCAAAAGGAGGTCGTAGCAGTAGTGAGCGTGAGCATCTGATTTTAATGAGATTATGATGAGAACATCATTTAATTTGTGATACACAATTATTAATGTCAGAGATATTTTTAAGGATTAAACTTCTTTTTAATTTCCCTCACAACGTTTCGGGACCATTCCGGGTCCCTTTATCAGGTGAACTGACAGTTGAGACTATAACTTAGATGAGACTATAAGTTGATAGTCTCAACTGTCAGTTCACCTGATGAAGGGACCCGAAATGGTCCCGAAACGTTGTGAGGGAAATAAAAAAGAAGTTTAATCCAAAAAAATATCTTGGACATCTATGTACAACTTCTAAATGCCACTGAAAGACACCATTATTAATGTCAGATATATGTACCATGTAGCAGCCAGAATATTACACTACTGACAGTGTCAGTATCTGTCTTATGCATCACCATATAAATAATTCAAGTTATTGATATCTTGTGAGAAATAGTCACAGGTTTGTATCTTAATATGTATGTGTTAGCACTATTGTGCAAGAACGGTTGATGTATTTACTCTTGTATTTATTGGAAAAGCAATAAAGTTCAGTTTGTGTGTCAATGCATTGTCTTGTGTTTACACCATATTCTGTATTCTCACCGATTCCAGTCAGAATAGGGCGGTGGGGTGGCCTGGTAGTTAAAGCGTTGTCTCGTCACACCGAAGACCTGGGTTCAAATCCCACATGGGTACAAAGTGTCAACCCAATTTCAGGTGTCCCCCGCCATGATATTGCTGAAATATTGCTAAAAGCAGCGTAAAACCATACTCGTTCAGTCAGTCAGAATAGGCACCAGTGACTCGTACGTCTTACAGGAGCTGACTTACTTCAAGATCATCATGTGAAGTTGGTCAGTGCTCATGTTGTGCATTCTTTCAATCACTGGTTGGGAGTGTCAATGAAAACAGCAGGAAGAATTTCATAATTTACAGAAACAAAAACCTTTTGTAATTATTTTCAAATTGTAATCCCTCAGATCCAGTATTGTTAGTTTGATATTCTATTTTATTTGATTCAACATGATGTATAACAGCTATTGTTAATTATAAAAGGTAATTATTAAAACGTCACATCGGCTGTTTCAGTAAGTGAGAATGTGGGGAGAGAAATACAGACTGATTATAGATCTTCCTTAGATTAACTCTTGATTTGTTGGTTTGTTTGTTGTCAACAACATTCCATTTGTATGATGAATCTTGTAAACAATCAGACCAGACGATCCAGAGACTGACGTCATGAGTGTCAATCTACACAACTGGGATACGACGATAGGTATCTGGGTATGAACCAAGTCAGCTAGCCTAACTACCACATACAGTTAGTCATCTCTTAGGACAAGAAAGGGCTACAGAAGACCAATTCTAACCATGGTCTGATTATTAATTCTTGAAGATCAAGTCATAAGTGTCTTGGAATGCTGATACTGCAACGATTCAGTTCCATACATCGAAAATCGAATCTGACACCTTAGTCTTGATTTTCGATAACGATTATCACTATTTCGATTCAATATTTTAATACCTATTTTAATTATTTCCACACAGCCAGAACGTAATTTTGACTCCCAACTCGAGCAGCTTCTAGCACTGAAATAAGGCGAAACGTGATTGGTTGACGCCGGGCTAATTATCAAATGAGAATTGTTAATAGACATCACCAAGTTGACGATGGATTTCATGCTAAAAAAAGCAAAGTCTGAGAGTTAAATGAAATCTGATGTTTATCAAATCGAAAATGATCGAATGGAGGGTCCAATATTAAAAATCTGGGTGAATTGTTGCAGCCCTACACCATAGTAATAACACAAGGCCAAGGAAAAAAACAAAAAACAAATATTTATTAACATTTGTATACATACTAACTGCTTTTTGGTTTTTTGGGCCTATCAGAAAGTGTAAGCCAGTAAAATCTGAGCCAGCAGTATGTGACGCCAATTGCGCAATAAACAGATGTCAATAGCAGGGGGATGAATGGGAGTCTCTGTGACAGGCCAAGAGCAGGGTGCCCAATACTGTTGTATATTTCAAGAGGGATGATTCCAAGCAGGTAAAGGCTCTCCAGGTTGGACAACAGGGGCAAGGCAGTTGGCCGAGCCGGGATACTGAAACACAAGAAACATGGAAGTTATGGCTGGAGTGAGTGAGTGAACGAGTTGCTGTAGGCTTTTTTCAGTGTCAGTTTTTCAGGAGAAAAGTCTGACTGAGTGAGTGAGTGAACGAGTGAGTTTAGTTTTACGCCGCACTCAGCAATATTCCAGCTATATGGCGGCGGTCTGTAAATAATCAAGTCTGGACTAGACAATCCAGTGATCAACAGCGTGAATATCGATCTGCACAATTTGGAACCGATGACATGTGTCAACCAAGTCAGCAAGTCTGACCACCCGATCCTGTCAGTCGCCTCTTACGACAAGCATAGTCGCCTTTTTGTGGCAAGCATGGGTTGCTGAAGACCTATTCTACCCCGGATCTTCACGGGTCAGGAAAGTCTGAAGTGATCATGAGCATAAGGCAGAAAATCCAAGAAACCAGGGAGCATCTGAGACTCAAACCCATGATCATCAGCAGCTTGCAGTACCAAGGGATGCAACTCTGCACAGTGCCTGCTTGAGAGTGGTTTTACAATGCTTTTATCAATTTTCCATCAATACCACAGCGGAGACACCAGAAATGAGTTTGGATAATAAGGAAATTGGATCTTTGAAATATCACTTTGCACAATGATTCAGCAATATTCCAGCTATATGGCGGCGGTATGTAAATAATCGAGTCTGGACCAGACAATCCTGTGATCAACTGCATGAGCATCGATCTACGCAACTGGGATCCGATGACATGTTTCAACCAAGTCAGCGAGTCTGACCACCCGATCCCGTAAGTCACCTTCACGGGTTGCCATATAGACAGGGACTAAAACGCCAACGTTCAACCCTCTGAGAAGACTGTTTATCCATTAGGCCACAGATACAGTCTTTCTACAGGCAGCTTATTCCTTAATGGACTCCTCGGGATGTATAGTTTATAACTTACCCATGAATCCTTCCCAGACTTGTAAAAGCATAAAAGCTATAAAGTGCCAGGAGAAGTATTTTTATTGGTGTTTCTGAAACAAAAAGTAGTGTGTTATACAAATGAGTAAGTGAGTGGATCATTTGGGTGTAGCATCGCTTTTACAGTATTCCAGTTGTTTCACAGCTTGTCAACCTAATGTGGAACAAAGCTTGAAGTGAAGCATGTTTCAGATGTTTATCAATTCGTTGATATAGTACTATCAAACCTAGAAAAGAACCAGGATTCAACACAGAACCATAGCTTCCTGGCAGGCCTAAGGGACCTAACTCTGCACCTCTCTAAAATGGATTAAACAGCAAACCTTTGCAGTATTTATACAACAGGCAGAACAAGCAAATGTATGTGTGTCTCACAACACACTCAAATCCGTGAACCAGACACGAAAGGGAAAGACTTTGTCTGCGTTCTGTGATGTGCGAATTGTACTTACCAAACTGAGTAAACAGAAGGGGAAATAAAGAGTATCCCCCAATGGTTGATAAAATGAGAAATATCTGAGCTTCTTTCTTCCTCTCTATTGACAACAATCTGAAACAACAGTGTTACATGTTTAACATGCCTAAGACTTTCAACAAACTTGCTTCAACATATTGAAATACTTGCTTCAATATACTCGGAAATACTTGCTTCAACATATTGAAATACTTGCTTCAATATACTCGAACTACTTGCTTCAACATATTGCAATACTTGCCTCAATATACTCGAACTACTTGCTTCAACATATTGCAATACTTGCTTCAATATACTCGAACTACTTGCTTCAACATATTGCAATACTTGCTTTAAATATACTCTACACTACTTGCTTCAACATATTGCAATACTTGCTTCAATATATTCAAAATACTATAAACATATTGAAATACTTGCTTCAACATATTGCAATACTTGCTTCAACATATTGCAATACTTTGCCTCAACATATTGAAATACTTGCTTCCAACAGTTATATTGCAATACTTGCTTCAACATATTTGCAATACTTAATATATTCAAAATAGCCTCAATATATTGAAATACTTGCTTCAACATATTGCAATACTTAACTTCAATACTTGTAACATATTGAACTACTTGCTTCAACATATTGCAAATACTTGCTCATTATAAATGAAATACTTGCTTCAACATATTGCAATACATGCTTTAAATGCTTGCATGCTGCAATACTTGCTTCAATATATTCAAAAAATACTTAGCCAATATTGAAATACTTGCTTTAACATATTGCAATACTTGCTTCAATATATTCAAACATACTAGCCTCAACATATTGAAAATACTAGCCTCAACATATTGAAATACCTGCTTCAAATACTTGCAATACTCGTTTTTGCATCAATATACTCAAAAACTAACATATTGAAATACTTGCTTTAACATATTGAAGTACTTGTCTCGAATACTTCCAACACTTGATTGAATATACTCAAAATACTTGCTTCAACATATTGAAAAACTTGCTAAAAAACTAAGAATCCAAAGTGTATGCATGGTGTGTGTGTGTCTGTTTTCTCTAGGTCTGATCTAATTGTGGTTTTACAGTTCTTGCCCACTATAACACCAGCAGTTGAGTAATGAGTACTACACTTACATCAGCGGGATGAGGATGAGCAAGATGGCCTTTTCATGGACGTGCCAGCCAAACATGAAGGAGGCAAAGGCACACAGTGTGAGACAGCGGAGGAAGCTGAGGGTCCCTCGCGGGTTGGACCACAGTTTCATCATAGCAGGCTGAAAGAGGAGGCAACACAGTGGCAGTGGCCTTGTTGTACAATACATATCTATTGTCTATAACTGTCAGGGTGACATATCTGTGTTATATCTGTCACTGTATGGGTATTTCAAATACATTTTCAAATAATTTCTTTACATCTGTTGATTTTTACAGCCCAAAAGCACCTCTTTTGCATTTTTTCATTTGTTAGTGTGAGTGAGTTGAGTTTTACGCCGCACTCAGCAATATGGCGGCGGTCTGTAAATAATTGAGTCTGGACTAGACAATCCAATGATCAACAGCATGAGCATCGATCTGAGCAGTTGGGAACCGATGATATGTGTCAACCAAGTCAGCGAGCCTGACCACCCTATCCTGTTAGTTGCCTCTTACAACAAGCATAGTCGCCTTTTGTGGCAAGCACGGGTTGCTGAAGACCTATTCTACCCCGGATCTTCACGGGTCTTCATTTGTTAGAAGAATCGGGAGAAAGAATATAGAGACTGTTCATGAAAGTTTAAGTAACGTTGAAATTAATGGCACTGTACATGTGTATGCCCTTACCATCATAGCGATTGTTCATTGTGGGGCAAGAGGGCAGTAACTCCTGTACAAGACCACCGGTCATATCTGGCTGGATTACCTTCAACTGCACACCTGAATACAATAGGACAAAGTCTGACACAATGAGACACAGTGAGACACATTGAGACTGTCAGTTACCAAATTATATGTACAACAGCCTCTTTTATCACTTATAAACCTCCAGTGACGTCACTTTATTGTTCTGCAAGGCCTAGTCATATCCCGATGGCCCGGCCGATATTACTTAAATATTGTCCCTCTGCCCCGGATATTCTTCAATATTGTCCCTCTGCCCCAGGATATTACTTCAATATTACTTTACTTTGAATTACTTGTTTTGAAGATTGATATAACTTTGTCTTGCTATCACTGAATGCGATCGTAAAACATCACATTATTGAAAACTTCCAACATATAGTGCCGATATCTGGTTTCGAACCTGCAACCCTTCGCTTATTAGCTTGGCAGTTTTATCCACTAGGCTACAAAGGATTGCTGTGAAGAATAAGATTGTTTGTCAGCATGAACCATGTGTTCCTCACAAGACGGGTAGTGCGGGCAGCGCACGTGCAGGACACGGGTAGTGTGTGCAGAGCATGCATTGCGCGTGCAAGGCAAGGTGTCGGCTGCCAGTCTCATCCCAGTTGATTTCAACAGTAAATACCAAATCTTGAAATTATATCTTCAGTCGGTTTATAAGTTGGATATAACATGACCCGTGGGCATTATTGAAAAGTCAGGTTATCAGTATGGTCAGCCAAGGTGCTTCAGATGTGATGATTGCCAGGCACTTTAATGTGCATCCATCCACTGTAAGTCGACTCAGACAACGTAACACCTCTTGGATGTCCCTTCTCACCACCCTCATCATGTCTAATGTACCTGCCCCCCCCTTCTTTTTACTGTATACCTGCTCCAGGACTTCCCCCTGCTGTCTACTGTACCTGCAATAGAAAGTTCCCTTTTTCTCCTGTCTACCTTCTCCCCCGCTGTCTCAACCCTCTCCCTGTCTACTGTACACATGCCCTCGGATGTCCCCCTCAACCCCTCTCCTGTCCACTGTACACATGCCCTCGGATGTCCCCCCTCAACCCCCTCTCCTGTCTGCTGTACCTGTAATGGTAGCAGCCTTGTCAGCCACATTGTAGAGAGCCCAGAAGTTTGGTGCCCAGTAGGCGTGGCACAGTCCTCGCTTGAATGGGAACAGTCGGGACAAGACCTGTGGCAACTGGCCCTGACGGAAACACATGACTGTCACTCAGTACAATGTACATGGGTAAAATACATAAAGGTGAGTGAGCTGGCTTTAACACCACTTTGAACAGAGTTTTCCAGTTATATACCAGCTTGATCTTGGAGGCAAATCCAAAGTGATCCAGATCTTACATATTTACCACTTCATCTGAGAAGCCGCAAGCATGGTTATAGTGCTGAATCACGAATAACAATCAAGACACATTTGGACATCTAAACCTCGGCTATAGGATCTTGAACCTCTTTAATCGACATAACTCATAAATGCAACATGTTCCCCTGCAATAAACATTGGAAACTTACCAATGTCTTTATCTATTTTAACATTTTAGGCATCAAAACTACATCTTCTTAACCTCATTGTTATAATACAGATGCATTGCTGATGCAAAGTGTTCAGGTTGATTATATAATTACTGTTTCAATATTATGAATACACAATGCCATTTAGAAAGTGCTCAAATGTAACATATGTTATATTTGGGATTAAACTTTCTCAGTAAAGTACAGATTCCAGCATTAGTACGCTGACTTCCATTTTTGTGGAACCGTGATGGCTGAGTGGGCTAGACGGCTGATTGTGTGTACAGGTGATCAGATATTCTGTATATACTGCTGGGAACAAAGATTTACATGAATGTCTATATTGTAGCGTGAATATTACAGAAGTTTACACAAAGTATCATCGGCAAAGAGGGGGATTAAATTCTTAGTGACCATTACCAAACAGGTTGTATTTTTATCAATGTCTGACAATAACTGCTTAATCTATGAATCCATGTATAGTTTTGAAAAATGCCTCCCTGCCTCCTCTACTTCTCAATACTCTAAGTCCTCAGTGAGCATCTTGTGCATAACATATAATTCATGCATAATGCCTTAAACAAAAGAAGTGATGACTGCATAATAACATGACAAAACTATGTATGAGTAACACCAAAAGATTTCAGTAAAGTCTCACCATGTATATGAAAGGTCCGAATGATACCCCGAAGACTGACATAACCGTGAGGCCAAGACTGAAGAGTCTGGTGATGGAGAACGATCTCCACTGTATTGTCCCGTCTGAAACAAGAAACCAGGGCTCCAGGTAAGCTACCATTCATATGGCTTGGTTGGTTGTTTGGTTTGTTGATTAATGCCGTACTCAGCAATATTTCAACTTCATGTAAATAATCAAGTCTGGACCAGATAATCCACTGATCAGCAACATGAGCATCAATTTACACAATTGGGATCTGATGACATGAATCAGCAAGCCTGACCAACAGATCCTGCTTCTTATGACAAACATGGGTTGCTGAAGACCAATACTAACCCAGGCCCCCATTTCTCGAAATAAACTTAAGTTTTTACTCAAATCTCAAACTGAGTTCACAATTTGGAACAGCTGAATTTTTAACTCAACATGATCTATTGTCCATTAGAGACCATTCTATGAAGTGAACAAACTAGATGAGTGCTTAAAAAAGATCAGGCCCTGATTTCTCGAAACAAACTTAAGTTTGAGTTTTGACTTAAGTTCGAGTTTTTACTCAAATTTGAGAAAAACGCAGGAAAATGCATTTCACAGAATGAACTGAAATCGGTATTAAACTCAAACTATGGAAGATAATTTGAGTTTGGTGGATAGATTACTTTAGTTCTTTGGGCTTTTATATTTAAAAAATGCAGTTTTATCTTAGGAATATTGGTCCTCAGCAACTTACGCCTGTTGTAGGAGGCAACTAAATGGATTGGATGCTAAAGCTTGGGGACTTGGACAATTGCACGTCACTTATCCCATTTGCAAAGATAAATGCTCATGATGTCAAACACTGTATCATCTGGTCCTGTCTGCATAAATATAGACTGTTATATAGTCTGAATATTGCGAAACGCACCATTAAATATAACACAAAACAAACATATCATATCACTTGACCAATCACTGAAGTCTGCACACAATTCACACACGTAATTGACCTTGACCTTCCTTACCTGGGGCACTCCTGAAGCAGTAGCAGCGCAGGAGGTAGACAAAGTATGCGGGGGCGATATACAGGTAGATGTGCTTCAAGTTAAGCAGCACAGTAAACCAAAAGGCACTAGAGATGTTTCTGCCCTGAAATAAAGAGTTAACATTTGGAAAGTTTCTTAAGATTTAACAAAGTTGATTAAGACTTGCAGGATCTTTGCCTGCTTGTTTGTCCCTATCAGGGTTTAACATGAAGCATAAATGTGCATCCAGTACGCACAAATATAGAGAATGGACACAGAAAAACAATTCACTATGCCATTGTACCCACAACATATCTATGACTTTGCTAAGTGTTAAGTTGTTTCTTTCAGAGCAGTTACGTGCATTATTTCATCCATCAGTCCACATGATCAATGATTCATTCCAGGCTCTACAGAAATTATCAAAACATACAGTTCTCTACACTCTTACTTCACAGGACCCTCATATTGTCATCAAGGACCCTTACAACTAATAACTGGGGATCCCCAGGACCCCCATGTTTGTAAGTTGAGATAAAACCATGCCCATCTTAAGTCAGGATCTGATCTAATTTATCTTTCTAACAAGCTATCATACTTGACTACCAACCAACAGTTTGTCAAATGAAATTGATACCTATACATTGTAAACTTTCCTGCTTTACCACCTCTGTAGTATCAATCCCTGATTTCATCCGCATAATTGTTATTATTTTTTTATTATTATAGTATATTTATATAGCGCACATATCCACACACTGGTGCATGCTCAAGGCACTGATATTTTTCCCTCGATCATTGGATGTCAATCCCAACGGCACATCGCATTATCAATCTCAACTCCCTGGGGAGTATACAACTCTTGCTGCCACTAGGCGCACCGAGTTATTGTGGCTTTCTCATCCTAACGAGGTTATTAATTAATGACTGTAGTACTTAACTATTAACTAAAACCAATCCATAGACATAGAAATCAATTCTCCTGAATGAAGATTCAATAGATAGCAATAATTGATGAGATTGTATTGAGCATGGGATAGTTTACCTCATGTAGTCGTACAATAGACAAGAGCAGAACACCAGTCAGGAAGCCATTGTACTGGAAATGTATGTCTGGTTGGTTAAGTCTATACAAACTGAGCACCATGCAAACAAAAGTACAGATACAGATTGTAATTTTCTAAATCATGGTCTTTATGTTAATTTGTGGTGTTAAAACTATTTATTTCTTTATTACAGACAATAGCGGCTTTTATCCATTACTACACTACAACACTACAGACAATAAATAACATACATTGCAAAATGTGCCTATTTTAATAAACAACTCTCCACTGTTTCTATCTGTATAACAATAGCTCCCTGCATAGTATCCAAATGACGGTGACTTTTAAACTGATCTAGCAACAATACTGTAAAGCTGCCTTGATGGTCTAGATGAAAATTCTAGTCAAAACATAATTGTTTCTGCGAATCATATAGCCAGTTAGGTTGCTGGTTGTCCACTTTGTAAATCAACTGATTTAGGTGATGAATATCTTTACTTATTTATCTGTCCAAATTTGGAAAATGAGAAAAAACCCAGCTTATTCACACATATTTTTACACTAAACCAAAGTTCTTAAATGAATTTAGTTTTCTTTTTAATAACCAAAAACTATATTGTCCAATCCAAAACAAATATTTTTTCAAAATGTGTAAAACAATTATGTTACAATCTGATACAAACAGCATGTTTCACCAATGAATATTGTAATTTAGTAACTGTCGTTACTGCTCAGTGAAGTTGTTGATGCATATTGTATACCTGTGTATTCGGACGTATATAAGGATGTATATGTCGTACCTCTAAAGCCGCTGATAGTGCCCTGAGTGTAAATAGAGTTCAGTTGAGTTCAGCCAGCACCAATATAATAAAACAAACTCCACAAATGGCCTATTGCTGTGAGGAGCTAATGAAAGGGAGATAACTCTGGAAGGCATGGCAGACAACCCATCCCAACAGCTTTCTACCCATGGTTAAAGGATACGATCAACAATCAGAAGTCCAAAGTTGGCCAGCAGCAGAACACATGTGATGAGTTTGGGACTCTCAAACAAGTCCTGTGTCTCGTCTTTTCTACTAGGCTTCAAACATTTCCTACAAAACCTGGAAAATAGATAAACTGCTTCTATAATCCCATTTTCATCATATAAGAATAAATAATACACCTGTGCATTTCTATTCAGCTGTACAAAAACTCTCAGATGGATACAGGACTTTTTCTACTCAAGAGTCACATGAGACAGTACATTTAATTCTTACCTTTGACATATCAGAGACACTCTCAAACAATTTGTTCCTAATATATATTTTTACTCATATATTATCACTTATATATATATCAATACAGTTTGTTGAGAGAACATATTATAATTCTCCCAAAACATTTTGTATCAAAACATATACATGTTCAACTAATATAATGAACTACCAATAATTTCATATGACTATAATATGGCCACTTAAAAGTTTGCCTGTACAAAAACAACCTTTTGTTCAATGACAATGTTACTGATTGAGTTCATTGATGAGTGAGCCATTTAACACTTTGCCTGTACTCAGCAATAATTTTAATGACAATGTTACTGATTGAACATTGATGATATTATCATCTCAAAACATAGGTACTCACTGATTCACTGCATAGACAAAGAAGAAATCAGTTCCAATGACTGACAGCTTTTGAAACAACACTGTGGCTTCACTGGCATAGTTCAGGTTAGAGACAACCAGCATGTTCTTGTCAAAATACTGGGCCACTTGGGACAGCGCCATCTCCAGCCAGGCAAACAAGGGGGGATAATCCAAGGTCCATTCAGATGTCTTCTGCAAACACATTTCTTTCCTACATACTAACTCAGTGAGCTAAATAAAATCACAAACAAAGGTCATATTTAGATCATGTTTAGATGTTGCAAATAATACGGACAGCTGATAGTTTCAATGATGTTACGTATATTAGTTTGGATATGGAAGAGAATGGTTTGGGGTACTGTCTATTTTAGCAAGGGTCAGCATTATCCCAGCTAAATCAAGGCAGCCTGTAAATAATTAAGGATGGACCAGCTTAACCAGTGATTGACATGATATGCAACATCCAGCACAATCAGGATATTTTATATATAATATTTTAGCTGACACTCATGACAAACAAAGGTTACTGATGACTAGTTTTATCTTTGATTCCCTGCTGGTCCTCTCTTATTGAAAACAATATTTCACAAATATTTCAACAATTCAATATATAAGCATAAGAGGAATAAGAGGATGTCTCTTCACTACAATATGAAATATAAATATCATCATTGCTTAGTATGCTTGAAATGTATCCTCATAATGAGCTATGTTGGAGTATATTTCTGAAATATTTTCAAAAACAAATACAAAGTCCTACCTCATAATACCAGTCTTTGATTGGTAGACTATGGGTTATCGCCAACCAGTTTCGATGAACTTCGAAAGTCTGTTGATCGGCTGCAAAACCACGTAAACACAACAGGATGACTAGTAATCAAAATTCCTGGTAATATCATAGATATTTACAGTTTCAATAATATCTGAATATTCCCATTCTCTGATATATTTTTTTAAATCATCCAAATGCTATTTCATGCGGCAGTGACCACATATACGGTGATATCAACGTTGTATTTATGTGCACATGGTACACAATAGTGTCTAAAACCATGGTCGATATCTTTAGTGTTCAAAATATTAGCTCACTACAACTGAAAGAAGCCCCTGCGAAAAGGAACACAGTGGACATATCTGACAGATTAGCAAGACAAACGCTACGTAAGGTCCCAATATTCTTGGTGCGTTTAACATTTAATCTAAATGCCAAGTTGTTTCCCTTTTGGATGTGCCGGTATGTGACACGTGTACATGTTGACAAACAACAACTAAGCGTGTCATGTCTCCAAAACAATGCATATGTGATTAATAACTAACAGAAACGTTCTCAACCAGCTAAATATGACAGACACGTACTACGTTGGCATTAAAAGTAGTTTGAAACAAGTGATCACGGAAGCGACGAGCCAAAACGTCGCCATCTTGAAGATATTTTTACCTCCTTCAATGAAGATTGCTGGGGAATTCATTACAACATTGCGATGTATTGCACGTTTGTTACCATCAGTTATTTATGCGGGTATATTAAAGCAAACTAATTTCGATAGCGATTTAATTGTTGCAATTAGTTAAGTTGTTTCGTGCATTTCTTTACGCAGTGGCAAAAAATAAAATTCTATATTAGTGCCCATGAACTATCCAATGAGTACTCCCAATTGTAATGATGTTTCGTATTCAGAAATTTCTGGGCGAAATGAGCGAGAACATTAGATAAATGGTATCTTTGTAAGTGTAAAGTATTTTTATTGACTACAGGAGTAATACATACCATTTATAGTTCTCAAATACGAAAGTAATATTATCCAAGATATCAAGATGGCGTCTCTCTTGCAGGTACATGTGATATAGAACTGCATGCTTTAAAGTTTTCCCTGCCTGTTTGGTGCTGGAAATCTATTTAGAGGCGGGAGTGATTCAGATCTATGACAGACAGGTTTTTGCATGGGTATCCTATCTTGTGTAACAGCATGTATTCATAGCAATGTTAGTTTGGGGAACAGATGAACGTGATTTCCTTGACTTTGAAACTTTGGTCGCCTCAATAGTGGCAATACTTACAGAATGATAATACAGCTTAAGACCTACTTCACTTAACGATACGAGAGAGGACCACATATATTGTTTACAGAAAACACTATCAAGCCGGAAGGACGCTGTTGTGAACACTGTCAACTAATGAAAGGCCAAGCAAGGACCACTGTGAAACTAATGAAAGGCCAAGTATATAGTCTTACACAACAGGCATAAACATGACCAGTGCATATCACTGTGTGGGCGAATCTACCTTGTTATGTTCCTTAGTCAAGTAGCTAGGGTCACTCTCAACCATTCAAAATGTACCCAGGGTACAAAACGGTCTTTAAGTTACACCCATGTTTGCTTTGCCATATTGTTTTGGATTCGCACCATGTCTTAGCGTACCGTGATTGTTATTCTCTGTGTAGCAGATCTTATCTTCATGTTTCCAGGAAGAAGAGTGTGCTGAAGGTCATGGTTAATCTAAGACTTATCTTCAAGTCATCTGTCCTGATGGTGTGTGATCTTGCTGATTGTGTGTGATCTTGCCCTGATGGTGTGTGATCTTGCCCAGGTCCTGTGTGATCTTGTCCTGATGGTGTGTGATGGTGTGTGATCATGCCCTGATGGTGTGTGATCATGCCCAGGTGGTGTGTGATCTTGCTCTGATGGCGATCATGTCCTGATGTGATCTTTCTGATGGTGTGTGATCTTGCCCTGGTGTGTCATGCCCAGATGGTGTGATCTTGCTCTGATGGCGTGTGACCTTGCTGATGGTGTGTGATCTTGCCCTGGTGGTGTGTGATCATGCTCTGCTGGTGTATCATAATGCCCTGATGTTGTGAGTGATTATATGCTTACGCCACTTCACGTCGGTTAACACCAGAAATGGGCTTCACACATTGTGCCCATGTTGGGAATCAAACCTGGGTCTTCGGCGTGATGTGCGAACATCTTAACCAATAGGCTCCCACCGCCCCTCCCTGAATGTCTCTCCCTATCACCATTAAATCAGGTTGAACACCAGAAATGGGCTTCTCACACATCCCCATGTGTGTGTGACTTTCCTCAGCGCTTTGATGGGCCTTGTGCATCTTAACACTTTAGATGATTTATTATGTGTGTGAACACATGCCCTGATGATTGTGTGTGAACATGCCCTGATGGTGTGTGAACATGCCCTGATAGTGTGTGATCATGCCCTGATATTGTGTGATCATGCCCTTGTGGTGTGTGTACCTTGCTGATTGTGTGTCATCATGCCCTGATTGTGTGTGATCATGAACAGATGGTGTATGATCAAGCTCTGAAAGTGTATCATAATGTCCTGATGGTGTATTATTATGTCCTGATTGTCCGTCTCACTGTTCTGCCTTGTTCACATATTTACAGGACGCAGTGACTCACTCCACCTTTATCAAAGTTCTATGTTCTTGCAGAGGGTGTCACTTCTTCGCCCAGCATGTCAAGACTTGACCTTTGTGAGATGGATGTACAAAAAGAAGAAAATTCCAAAATGGGCAGACCCTAAAGACATGTCATGGGCAGAACCTTTGTTTGAAAGGCAGAGAAAGCTGGAGACAGAGGGAGGGAAGAAGAGGGAGGTGTCCATGTTGCATCTGGTCCAGAGAGTGAAACCTTTGAAAGGTCGGCCATACTGGGAGCGAGAAACCATCAAAACACTCAAGTTAAATGGAAAGGTAATGGTAGTCCTGAGTGAAGGTTGATCCTGGTGATGTGGGATGTGTTCATAATATCAACCACAGCTTTGTCTGGGCTGTACTTAATTATTTACAGGCCATAGTGATACAAGTTGATGACATGTCTAAACTTTTCTCAGAGACGTGTTCAGAAACCAGACCAGACATACTGAAAATGAAAAAAAGTCCTTTGTAATTTCACTTGTGTCATGGTCGGGTTTGTTGGGATGTTCGTTCATGGACCATTTTACTCAATTCTAATGTCTAATTGTGGTCACGTTTGGACAGTGGAGTAGCCTAGTGGTGTAAGTGTTTGCTCGACATGCTGAATCCCCGGTTTTAATTCCCCACATGGGTACAATAGGTGAAGCCCATTTCTGGTGTCCCCCGCTGTGATATTGCTGGAATGTTGCTAAAAGTGGTGAAAACTAAAGTCACTGACTCACTCATTATCTCTGAAACTGAAAGTTAAACCTTTTCTTTAAATGATCCCAGCTGTCATCTGATTTTAATGCAACCAAAGACAAAATGGCCTAGTGGTAAAATTTTCTGGCCTAAGTCAATGAGCTAAGGGTTGGTGGTTCGATCGCAACTGCATCATACCAAAAAACATTAAAAGATGGTACTTGTTGTTTGGCATTCAGTGGATAAAACAAAGAATATGTCAGCTCAGAGTCAGGATGCTGTTTCTCAGTGTTTCATCGTATATATCATATTACTATGGTACATTCAAACTGGAGTATTACACTTTTGGGATTCTGTGTTCTGTGTTAGAATTAAGCCATGAGTCTGTTTGACGTTAAAGGGTGGCTATGTTCAGTGACTTGGTCAATTGCATGTCTGATGGCTTGAAGTACTGCTCATAATATCAATCATTGGATTGTCAGGCCCAGACTTGATTATCTACTGGCTGACATTATACATGTATTGCTTTAATATGGCTGAGTGATGTTTAATGGCACAAAAACAGTTTTGGAGTCACAGACTTTAGTGTTATTCCCCCTCTCCATGAAGCTGGGTTCTCCCTCACCCCCAGTCAGGTGAGCATCACATTTACAGTTATCTGCATGAGGTCATCTCATAATAGTCTATTTCAATTTTATTATTGACAGATCGGGAGTATGTATATTCACAAGAACACCCCCTCTGTGAACAAGATGCTGGAGAGCGTGATCCACCTCATCAAGATCACCCCCATCTCATTCCCAAATGGGATTCCAGAATCACCTGATGACATGGAGAACTGCTGGCTGAAAGACAACGGAGAGCTAGTGATTAGGAAAACAGTTTATCCTGTCGACACAGTACACTGCAAGAAGGAAGATAGAGATGTATGGACCATGGACTTAGAGACATATGAGAAAGAGCATCAGAAGAAAATAGATAATAAAACTGTTCACAAGGAATATTTTCCTCCCCAGTATCGGTACAAATACAACCAGGATGGCAAGGAAAGGAGATATAAAGGCAGCTCTAATATCGGCTCCGACAGGGAGTGGTACTGACCTGGTAGGCTTCAGAAGCAGTTTGTGTATGGTCTGTGTGTGATAGATGGAAATAAGATTATGAAAACAAAACATATGTTGTTGTTTTTCTGTTTTGTCTCTTACACTGAACTTGACCTTAGGTTACCAGGAGCTTTGCAATATGCCATATTCTGCATCCTGTACATATACCAACTGAAAATGGACCCAAATACAGATAGCATCCACATGGATGCAGAATGGAAATTTCAGGAATGCCTGCAATATAGAAGAATAGTTTCTATTCATAATAATAAAATATGATTCAGTTAAAAACTTCAGGATCTTGAAGTGTTGGTACTTGTGTGTTCAGATGAGCAATTCAATGCCTATTATAACTTTGCCTCTTAGCATGCACAATAGTAGAATATGTCTTTAAACAAACATGAGTAAATGTTATATATTAATATTACAATTTAATACAGAAACATTACAGAAACAAGCAAGGAATTACGCTGTAGTATTTGAATAGACAGTTGTATGGATATTAATTTTGTGTTTATTGCATAGAGAGACTTGAGGTGTAAATCTTTACACTGTTATCAAACTAAAAGTTTTGTTGTAAGAATCTACACTGAAATGGAACGTTTGTCTCTCTATGCAATAAACAAGATGTTGTTGGCTATGTCCACTGATTCAGCGTAGCTGGAATAACCTAATCTCTTTCCTGCTCTCACATCAGTGATTGGGTTCGAATCCGGTTTGCCAGGTTGTTTTCTTGATTTGTCAGTACCATAAAGTGGAGTTTCATCAGAATGGTAAACTTCAAACACTTGCCAATTTCAAAGACCATATCAAGATGATAAGCCCAGATATAAGAGGAATACTGTTCAGATTTTTTTGGAATTAAACTCACACACTGTGTTTTGCTCGCCATAGACGACTTTGATATGGACTTGTTGCAGACTCGCTGACTTGGTCGACACATGCCATCGTATCCCCATTGCGTAGATCAGTGCTCATGCTGTTTATCACAGGATTGTCTGGTCCAGACTCGATTATATACAGACCGCCGTCATATTGCTGCAATATTACTGAGTGTGGTGTTAATCAAGAACCAAATCAAACCTAACCAAACCATCTAGATGTCCGATTGTTTTCTAAATGAAAAACCACAGTAACAGCCCTGCAGCAATGGACAACATGCAGTCGTCATCCCTCAAAACCCGAAGGGGTATTTCTATTGCTATGGATATCGTTGTAACTAATAATAATATATGCATTCTTTATATATATATGGATATCAATCAGTGAACGAATGTAGGACCCAGGACGTATTATTTTCAGCAATACAAGCCCTTGTGTCGAAAACTGAAACTCGATTCTCTTCCTAAAGCACTTGATTTCTAAGATTTGTATGAACATATTGGAACAGGAACCTTTCAATGTACTTAGTGGGTTGGAATCATCCAGGCGATACATTTTTTGGGCGGCTATTTATGGCGTATTTGTCAATAGGGATAATGTTCTTCACAAAAAGAAGTGATACTCCGAACTTTTAATTTCCACAATTTTTCTGGGATAGTTTTAAGTGATAACCGATAATAATGAATTGGGCACATATCACAACCGGTTGTGAAGTATGACAGTAAATGTTATGGCCGTCAACGATCTTGAAGGACGAGAGCGGTAAGATGGGAAAGGTGACGGTCTAGGATCCATAGTGAGTAATATCGCAACGATTTGTCAAACATTCATTCTCTCGAGGACGCATGATTCTCCCAACAGCGATTTGATGGAGCGTGTTCAGCTCCTCTTGCAGCGCCTGGTCATGTTCTGCCAATGTTACAGTTCAGTCGACCCTCCTTGAAAGTGTTCAAAATCAACAATAACAACCGACACAGTTATGTTGTACGGCTTCTTGGGGATGTTTTGGGTGTGTTTCAGTGTTAAGTTTCACAGACAAACGTCTTGCACAGGACGTTTGTCGTCAGTACCTTCTTTGTTTTCTTTATTCTAATACTTAGTGGTAGCATTTATAGTTCAGGATCCGTTACTTGTTAAGTGTATATATGTGTTTACATCAATTTAAATTATAGTTCATATAAGGCAAGTGCCCCAAGAAGATCACTTGGGCAAGTACCCAAGAAGATTTACAATGCGATGCAAATGTGGATCGGGAATCTTTGGAAAACTCTATGGGACAACCCGTAGTTCCTTAGTGGAACAACTTGATATCAAATGGAGCTGCACCGTTTCTTTCCTTCTTGTTGTTTACCGCCGCACTTGGCTCGTCACGCCGAAGATCCGGACGTTCCAATCTGTATGACGGCCACTCTGTAATATGCTGGATCGAGTCTGGACCAGAGTCAATCCAGTGATTTACATCATTGGCATTTCGAGTCTGGGAATACGATGACATGCATTTGGAATTGGAATACGATGACATGCATTGACCAAGTCATCAAGCCTGACCACCCGATCGCTTTGAACAAGCATGGGTTGCTGAAGACCAATTCTAACCCGGATATTCACGGGTCTGGGAGCAACAGTATGATGGAACTATGAATACATCTGAGTACTGAATACATCGCGGGAAGACAATACATCGTTGACAGTTATCAATAAAAGTACTAAAATGATAACAAAATGGTGGATAACGTTTTCACACATTGGGTATCCATAAAGAAATTTTATTTAATCAGACGCACCAGTATATATTACTGGTCCGTAAACAGTCGAGTCTGGACTAGGTAGTTCAGTGACAAATCAAGGGCATCTATATGCGCAAATGGCTGCATTGTCCCATATGAAACAAAACAAAAACAAGGGTTCCAGGTGAGCTACCACTCATATTGGTTGGTTGGTTCCACCTACATAGTGGCGGTCTGTAAATATTGGAGTCTGAACCAGACAATCCAATGATCAACAGCACGAGCATCGATCTATGCAATTGGGATACTATTGTAGCAGGGCGTGGAGTCATCCCATAGATGACATCCTTACCTTGTCAGCTTGCTGACGGGGTTAACCTCTTTGGTCATGTGGACAAGGCGTCCAACTTCGGATCAGAAGGTCCGTGGTTCGAATCCCACTCGGAAATTTTATGGCCGCTACATTGGCACCCAACGTGGGGCTGAGCACGTTCATATCAAATTTGAGCAAAATAAGTCTCAGTACCCAACTATGCGGCTCGGGATGTGCCTTCTGTTGACGGGGGAGTAATGTCATCTATGGGATGACTCCACGCCCTGCTACACTAAGACATGCATCAACCAAGTCGGCGAGAATAACAAAAACGAGCATGTTAGAACTCCTCTGAAGACCAACCCGGAAATACAGAAACTGCACAGGTAACGGCTTTAAAAAGTGTCTATTTGATATGTAAAAGTGTGGTTGAAGGTTCCAAAAGCTTTCTCCAGCATATACAAGTAAATGAACTTTCACCTCTACAACTTGTGTCGGTTTGTTACCGAAATAAATTTAGACGTCCTCTCCCTCTGTTTTGAAGACATACGGTGATACCGACTGATGAAGTTTGATTGGAACCAGACACGTGGATGATGCGATACGTTGTGATACTGCCAGTTGACGATGTTCAAAACGCCCGGGTTATCTCCCCTGCTGGTATTCAATAGTTGAAAAATAACAGATGCCGCTTGATTTTAAGCAGTTGTTGCTCGCACACATAGACGATTACCCTCAGCTGGGACTTGGCTTTCCTGAGAATTATTTTTGTCGTTCTTTCCTTAAAATATGCCCTGAAAAAAGAATTGCGTGTTTGGCATCCACAATACATTAGGAATCCTTGCCTACACATGGCAAGCTATTTTTAGCCGCCAATGACAATATTCTTTATCAACGGCGGGGTATTTCCACAAATACCGTAGCTTAACACTGTTGTGCCTGTCCTGGGACCGACTCATTTGTCCGGATTGTAAAGCGTCCGACCAACGTCCGTTACCGTGTTCACCACGAGGCTACTCCACAATTTGTTTAGGAACAACGTACACAACTTGAATCGCTACAGATACGTACTTTCGCCTGTTAACTACCGTATTTCCCTACAAATACCGTAGAATCTGTCTGTTACGGACTGTCCTGGGACCGACTCATTTGTCCGGATTGTAAAGCAGTCCGGATTAGACAGCTAATCCGTTACCGTGTTCACTGCCACGATGAGTTACCTCCCTTTCTTAAGGCCAACCAACAACTTGAATCGTTCTTTTTTCTGGCGCGTAACTGCTGACGCTACACCGAAGGTAGTGTTGGTTGTCATTAGAGACCTCAAGAGATATCTGAGTCATTAGAGACTTATTATGTATCCAACTATGGTATTATATAAAATAAAGTTCCTGATGCACTGGCAATTCTATGCACATGAAATCCTCGTACAGACGGAATCACTGAATCACCGTGACCTTCGACTCTTGCCATGTAGTGTTCGAGACCGGAAATGCTGTTCAACAGGGCCTCTCACTTTTAGGCTTTTCTTTATTCCAGGAAGATGTAATTAAAATGTAACATACACAGTGCCTTTTGTGTTTTTTTCTCATAGACCCAGTGCGTGAGACCACTAGCGCGTATTGTGTTTATCTTAAAGAATCCAGGAGGCTATATCACACATTACTCCTTTAGGCCAGTGCTTTGCAAAGACAGATAAAAAGATAACGGCCTTTCAGACGTAAATATTTTCGGTACTTTTACAGCGACCTACCGTCACGTCTGTGTGAATGTACGGTAGCTGGTCAGCAGATGTGACAGGTCACTATGGTATAAATTTTCTAATAATACGGTAATAAATATATCACACATCTCCACATATTTCAGCCTGACCCTCTGACCATTCTGTCGGGTCGGAGACTTTGAGTGTTTTATTTTCCTTGCACGGTTTGCTTCTTTCAAGTTGGATCATAAAGTGACACATGACTGTGTGGAACCGTTGGTATGAGAGTCTAAATATACTCATGCCAATAATGGTTGTCAACCCCCTCCCCACCCCAACCCCACACCCATCTCACACCCCTGACCCACACCCCCTCTCCAATTAAGAAAATTGAAGGGGGTGACAACCAGTATTGGCATGAGTATATATAAAGTTGGTTCACACGATTCCCCACGTAGTAGGCAGATTACCTGAACGCGACATCATTACTGTCTTCATCACAACAGCCCCGGACGCACCTGATACTGTACATACCTGTCAGGTGTGACAAGGAAATAGATGGTTAGCACCTGTTGCAGGAACCCAGGTCCCGCTGCCAACATGCAGAGCTTCTTGATGAACCTTCCTAGTCTCGATCCTCCTGTAACTTTCGAGAGAGTTTTAACGTTGGGTATATCCAACTTGTCCTCGGAATTTAGATCTGAATACATATTGATTGATTATGTTTCCCAATTTTTATTCCTGTAAAGATGTTACATGAGACATGCATGATGTATATATGCATTGTACAGGACATGAGAAATAAAATAATAATAATGATGAAAAAAAGTAAAAGGATAATTAATTCTTTCACACATTCATACCAATGCATACATACCCAATAAGTGATTAAATCATGTTTTTCATTAATTAAGTTTCGATAAATGGTCTATATTGATTCATTGGTTGGTTCGTTGATCATAAGGGATCTTGGGGTGGTGGGCAGCCTTGTGGGTAAAGCGTTCGCTTGTCACACCGAGACCTAATCCTTAACTTTTCTTGAGCGGTATATATTAGGAATACGACACCAGACTCCAAACCCATGCCCTTTATATCCAGTAAAGCAGCCCTGAGAATACATGTATTGTTCAATGTTAAAACGAAAGAAACAACAGTCTGGATAGGAAGATAAATACTTGTCAGCGAAATGTACTATAGTTATCGAATACAGTAAGGGACTGTCTCACCTCGCAAAATGTCGACATCTCGACAAAAACAAACAAACAAACAAACAAACAATAAATAAATAAATAAATAAATAAATAAATAAATAAATAAATAAATAAATAAATAAATAAATAAATAAATAAATAAATAAATAAATAAATAAATAAATAAATAAATAAATAAATAAATAAATAAATAAATAAATAAATAAAATTTAAAAAAATAAAAATAAATAAATACTAACTCTGTATTGGCCCACCAAAAAAATTTGATGATTCCAAAGATAAATTCTCTAATAAATAAATAAATAAATAAATATGGCTTGACAACGCCCTAATCCGATAAGACTTCATGCAAAATATAGTTATCAGGACAACAATTAGCCAACCAAATGGTGTAAGAAATATAGTTTTCAAAACTACCTCCCTTAGGTACATAAATCACGTACACAATGAACTAATTATATATCCCTTTCACCCACCAGTAGCGAGGGATTACCGCGAGGATAATCCCAACCTCCAACCCCAGCCATGCCACGTCACTAGGAGTCCGAGTCAATGATTGCTCCTATTGTTGAGTCGACGTAATACTATTTAGTGTATATGATTGGTTATTACTGATGTGGTACAAAACCCGTGGTTACAGGGCTTCGTTAGATCCTAACACAGTCGTGGGTACACTGCTGGCCACTCGGACGATCATGATACAGGGATAACTCACGGCAGACTGACACTCCCGTTTTCGTACACCATGGTGAAATTCGTGATTACTGTGTGTCTTCTAGTGTTATGTAAAAATGCTGGTACGTATTTCTTCATTAAATGTTGTTAAATTTGGATGTGGTCTAATATGTACATTGGACATATATACAAAATATTTTCTAACTAATTGTTTGATGTGTTATGTAAAAATGCTGGTACGTATTTCTTCATTAAATTTTGTTAAATTTGGATGTGGTCTAATATGTACATTGGACATATATACAAAATATTTTCTAACTAATTGTTTGATGGGCATTCTAGAAGTTGGCGAGTCAATAATGAAGCATACGACTTAATGGATAACAACTTCTAGTTTACCTTCACAGAGCGACGTTTTTGGTGTAGATATTTATTGCATGTATTTGATAACGGTGTAAGGATCGACACCAAAACGTTGCTCTATGCAATCAACAAGAAGTTGTCATCAATAAAGTCGTATTCATCATTACATTTCTAACGCCTTAATATATAACGTCTCTACATTGATGCGTATATATAACGTCTCTACATTGATGTGTATATATAACGTCTCTACATTGATACGTATATATAACGTCTCTACATTGATGTGTATATATAACGTCTCTTCATTGATGTGTATATATAACGTCTCTACATTGATGTGTATATATAACGTCTCTACATTGATGCGTATATATAACGTCTCTACATTGATGTGTATATATAACGTCTCTATATTGATGCGTATATATAACGTCTCTACATTGATGTGTATATATAACGTCTCTTCATTGATGTGTATATATAACGTCTCTACATTGATGCGTATATATAACGTCTCTACATTGATGTGTATATATAACGTCTCTTCATTGATGTGTATATATAACGTCTCTACATTGATGTGTATATATAACGTCTCTACATTGATGCGTATATATAACGTCTCTACATTGATGTGTATATATAACGTCTCTACATTGATGTGTACGAATGTATCTGTACGTATGGAGTGTAAACATTTACAAAAGGGTACAACGATATTAATTGATGTTGATTATTCATCCTTAACGATCCATCTAGTTCACAGAGTTCCAGTTAACGAGGCATATTGTATATACGTCGCAATACCTGCTCATAATGACGTTATATGTACGCCCTAGCAGCATGGAACCTGGTCCTTGGTCCTCCAATTGTCAAATATTATGCAGACATGTACTTCAACGAATTTTAGTTACGTTCTTAAATTCATTTCTATTCATTGCTTCATCGGAAATTAACTTTCCAGATGGTGCTTGTACGTTCCCTTCTGATCTGACTGGGACATGGGTCACCTCGACGATGGGAACGATTACATTTACGACATCCCAGGTGACGATCCCGTCAGTCTACACCTACGGCAATCTCATCTTCGACTGTGACACGTTAGACGGCACACAGTATCTACTCAGGTAATAATAGGGCATTGTGTACTATTCAGTTACGACATTGACTTCGGGAACACCATGAACAGTGACAATCAAACTGAAATTGTAGTCATGGTAAGGTAGATATGGTTTCGTCTTGAAAAAGGCCCCCGCTGTTCCTACGCCCATGTGCACTAAAGTCCGTTTCAAGAGACAAAATGATACTGACTGACTGACTGAGTTTAGTTTTACGCCGCTTTTAGCAATATTCCAGCAATATCACGGCGGGGGACACCAGAAATGGGCTTAACACATTGTGCCCATGTGGGGAATCGAACCCGGGTCTTCGGCGTGACGAGCCAACGCTTTAACCACTAGGCTACCCCACCGCCCCCACAAAATGATACCGATGAATTGCAATTTAACACAAAAAACAAATATACATAAAAGAATCAAACCAACGCGACTGCAATAAAAAACAACAGACCTACTCTTGTCACAAAAATAAAATATTGTTTAAGAAACTGTCATCATTTATTTGTACGTCTGCCAAGTTTGTTACAAGGGCGCAGTGGCAACTAAAGGAACAGCGCGATAAACGCGCATTAGTGACGTCAGAGACTACTAATGTAGTGATTACTGCTGATTGACAAAGTGAGAGAAAATGAAAGTCTATAATTTACAAAGACAATGATTTTTTCAAAGATGAAAATGACAGGGGGTGACCCAAGTATGCAATTACTAATTACATACAGCGCACTGCCTGTGCAGCTGGGGTATGTGTCATCTCGCCAGCTCAAAAGTTTGTTGAGAACCCGTTAACGCACGAGCATCTCGCTTTTCGCACTGTTCCTTTAGTTGCCAATGCGCCCTTGTAACAAACTGGGAAAACGCACAAATAAATGATGACAGTTTCTTAAACAACTTTATTATTTTTGTGACACAAATTATGCAATTTTTTTCTAGAGTTGGTCTGTTGTTTTTATTGCAGTCCGCGTTGGTTTGATTCTTTTATGAGTATTTGTTTTTGTGTTAGATTGCAAACATCGGTATCATATTGTCTCAAACGGACTGTAATAGAAAATAAGGATATAAGGTGATGTGAAAGGGGGTTTAATCTCTACCGTCACAATAAGGGTAAATGTAATTATCTACGCCTTTAAAATCTTTTCCACATTAAAACCAGATCTTATTTCCCGCTAAACGCCGAAGAGATATGTTCGTACAACAGTACATCCCCTTATGGGTCACTTCATGCGATCATTCGGAACGTCGTTTACCAGGGCAGTGCATGACAGTCGGAATATGTTTTCTTATTATGTAACATGGAAATAGTTAACACGAGGTATTCCGAATGACAATTCCGGACTGTCCGTCAAATTCGCCGTTCAGACGAAGGAGACTTTCCACAATCCTTGGGCAGCAGTCTTTGTCATCTGTCATCAATCTTGGGCATACGTCAGACATTCAATACATTTACTACTGTTCGGTTTTCAAATTTTCAATAGATCTATACGTTCCAAAGGTAGTCCTGAATCGAAGTCACCACTTCGAAATTTGTGCCACAAAGCCTGACAAATCTGCTTCCTGACTGGCTTTGGTCTACAACTTGTCAGACATGCCATTGGTGGGTCAAAGTTCACAAAATGTTCTGACGTTCCTGTAACGGGGTGTCCGCAGATCTTTGCATAAAGGGCGGTGGGATAGCCTAGTGGTTCAACCGTTCGCTCGTCACGAAGGCCCGGGTTCGATTCCCCACAATGTGTGGAGCCCATTTCTGGTGTCCCCCGCCGTGATATTGCTGAATATTGTTAAAAGTGGCGTAAAACCACACTCACTCACTCTTTGTGTAGAGTTAAGTGGAACTAAGATCAGAATTTAATCAGATTGTTCAAATCGTTGATACGTTATGTGGTTTACACATTATCTATCACTTCTGTTTAATACATATTGTTATCTCCGATTATCCAGTTTGTAGCGAATAATAAGATCTGAGACTATCAAGTCTTTAGTAACAGCTTGTTCAGCTTGACCTGATCAAGTGAATACTAATGCATTGCGTGACCGTGTCACAACTGGTTCGGTCTATTATTGTCAAGGGGTGCACCTTTGTCAGTTGATTGTCAACATGTCCGACAACAGAGACAAGGTCGCCGTTTGAGTCGAAAAATCATCAGCAATGTCCTTCCTTTAAAAAAGAAGCTACAGATGGTTTAATGTTTCCGATTCGGGCTGTTACGAATCCATGTATGCATGCTTCGCACGGACGCAACATTAATAACAATCTTTGTTCCCTTATTTAATGAAGTTAACTTGACCAGCTGTTTGTGGCATTTGACCTCCTGGGTCATGCATATGTAGAGTAGCTCAGGTTAAGCTGGACAAGCTGTAGTAATAAGATCTACCGCGTCTGTATTAAGTAAATGATCTACCATGATTGTAGTAAACAATAATATGTAGTCTATCAAATCTGTTGTAAGCAATAAAACTTACGACGTCAAGTTGCTCAACAGTAATGGCATATATTATCATATTTTTATTTTGATCTTCAAGGTCAACAACGACGGTGACGGTCCTCGGTAACCAACTCGACGTCGTCACTTGTTTCAACGACGTCACCATGCTCACCACCAGTGTCAAGTACAAGCTCCAACATGCGACAGGTCAGTACAGGTAGTGGGGAGACTATCACAGGGTGGTGTGCGTAGCCTAGTGGTTAAAGCGTTCGCTCGTCACACAGAAGGCCCGGGTTCGATTCCCTACATGGGTACAATGTGTGAAGCCCATTTCTGGTGTTCCCCGCCGTGACATTGCTGGAATATTACTAAAAGCGGCGTAAAACTAAACTCACTCACTCACTGTACTTCACAAAATGTCAATCAGATCATATTTCATTTTGCAGAGAGATTGTTTCTGTGTTTTGCTTAACACAGTACTCAGCATACTACAGCTATGTTTTGGCGGTCTGGACCAGACAATTCAGTGATTTACATTAATATGCATATCTTACAACCCGATTGGGATACGATGACATGCAAGACAACGGGCCTGACCACCCGGTCCCGTTACCGCCTCTTACAACAATCACGAATTGGAAGATCAATTCTAACTGTATCTTTACGGGAAAATCTGACGGTGTACTATATAAGAGTATGAAATGCAGCATTTTGAACAGAAACGTGGAAATCTGCTCTTCAGCGGGAACTATGTTTATGATTCCCTAAGTACAAGAATCAATACTGACATCGAGGGTCATTATTTTCAGTGAGTGAGTTTATTTTACGCCGCTTTTAGCAATATTCCAGTAATATCACTGCAGGGGACACCAGAAATGATCTCCACACATTATGCCCATGTGGGGAATCGAACCAGGGTATTCGGCGTGACGAGCGAACGCTTTACCCTCCAGGCTACCCCGCCGCTCCCATTATTTTCAGTACATTAGTGTAGCAGAAACCTCCCAATAACAAATGACTGTCACTAAGGCAAAGCAATGCTGAGCGAGTGATTCATGTTTATAAGCACTTTGAAGAAAGTTTACCACGGACCGACAGTCCAAAGTGCAAATGATAGAACTATATAGTATTGTGTCTTCTTGTGTTTCTTCAGCTGCACTGAACGATGCGAGCGGCTGGCGTATTAAAGTTCTCCCCACGGGTACATCCCTCGTCGCCAGCACCCTGTGTGACGCGTCCACGCCATACGCCATCGGAACCCAAGACATCCTCATCAAAGATGGTGAGATTGACTTACACATTACATAGAACAGTTCTGATTTACTAATGTTGAATGTTAAAAGCATGATGGCAGCGTCTCTGTGGTGACGGATATGTGTCAGTGTAGGGCCCGTAAGTAGGTCACGGCACTTCGGGAGACCTTACTACTTCCGGTGACAAACAACGTTTCATACCTTTTTGAATAGTCTCATGGTTGTCAGTTGACAGTAAGAAACCGATAATCCTGGCTGGAATATCACATTTCTGATCTGACCATCCCCAAATTAGCCAACTATTACGACTGTCAACAGCTGTGACAGTCAAACATGGCTGTACACTTGGTCCTGTCTAGTAAAGTCATATTTGGCGGTCGTGCAATTTGGAACCAGAACTGGTTCTTGAATATACGCTTGTCACCGGAAATCTGGTACCGAAATCAGTAAGCTGGGTCCCGTCTCGCATATCGCAAGTTGGCGCGCAAAGGGAGCCGGGAACCAGCTTAGTACCGGAGACTTACAGGCCCTATATTCAGGGTGTTCTACACAATGTATAACAGCCTTGTCAGTAAATGATGACCAGTGGAAATCATTTGTTTCACAGAAACCTGAAAACCTGATATTATATAGATAACAACTTCTTTACTGTTTATATTTGAATTCATCTGAAGAAGGGGTAAGAATTGGCCACACGACTATATCCAGACAGATATAATAAAGTTACGATGTTATCCAAGAACGTTCCACTTGTTCATGCGCTCCTCCATGCCTACAATGATTTCGTTTTCTTGCATACGGGCATTCTTGAATCGGCTCCCTCGAAATAGTCTTGCCACGATGTCGCGATGACGTTGCATTGTGGGATATGGCACGGGTTTTCTAGTCACAAAGTAATCTGGGTCCACTTTCACAAAGCGATCTCGGTGCTAAGCCTATGTTAGGGTATGGAGGTTACAATCATCGTATTCTAAGATCGCTACGTGGAAGTGAGCCCAAGTCTGATCTATGTTAACGTAGCACAGCTTTACGATCAGTCGAAGACATATGCTATAACACCAAAAAGCGATTTTAGCGCACGACCGTCAGTCCCATACATTAAAGTAGCCTTTACGATAGTCGTAATACGGTTTTAAAGAATTCCATGGCACCACTAATTTTAGTTCGTTGTGACCGTTGTTCCTTATAAGTATTTCGACTAAAATGTACCGCAAATATTCAGGTCTGTCAGTTCGAGCTATAAGCATGTTCGTTACAAACGTAGCGTACGGTACTTTCATAATGGACATTGACGTAACTTCGAGACCATCATCACTGTATTAAAATAGTTCAGATTCAGTATGTGAAACTCAAATAAACCAAACTGATTTTCTGTTTTGTTCCAGGTTCAGCCAGCAGTGCCTACATCCAGTGTCCAGACGCGTTGCTGGGGACGTTCTCCTATACCTACGATGCCGGAAGCGGTGACGTCTGCTCTGGCGGCTCCTACCTCGACGTTTGTACCGACCTCACCGCCATGACCTTCGACCTATCCATCTGCAGTCAGAAGGTCGCATACTCTAGTATGTATTTCCTCCGAGTCTTCGACATTGGGCAAATATATTACGGATTCATTATATCTGCACATTGAAATTTGTTAAAAAAATCTGATATTTTTATAAGAATGTTTATGCTTTCCTAGGATCCGATTTAAAAGAAAAGATGTATTCGTCGCAAGAGAGATCACTTCAAGTTTTACAGTTCAACCCAGTGATGATTTATCATCACAACGCTGACAGAAGATAGTTTACATATGACCGTACATTTCTTGTATTTGTAAATATATTTGAAATTATCATTAAAACTGGTCAGTTTCAAAACTGTGCATTCAGTGCAATTACCATATTGTTACATAATATTTAAGATATGAGACACCCTCTGAGTCTATGACAGTGTATATGTACACATCCAGAAAACCATATCGTTAACATTTATGTCCGTTACCAAGCAACCCGTCTGAACAAAGGATAAATACACGAAAGGAAAGATTTTACACGCTTCAGGATATTTTCTCAATATAAAGTGACATGCCCCTCGTGGCAGAGATACTAGGTTCACCAAAAGGAATTCTGAATAGGAGAGTCAGAAAATTGATGCTGAAAGGTTCCACAGACTGAACTGAACTGAATTTTGGAAGCTTGTCGGCCATCTTGAAATTGGCGGTCATCTTGAATGTTTGTAATTGAATATCTTTTCAGAAACATAGTATGGCTATTTTGTAATACAACACATTCTTTTTTTCATTTTCATGAACAGATTTAACCGCATGTGAAATATGGATATTGTATTTGATAATACAAACTAGACATATTTCAAACGAGGATTGCTTGGGACTTTAACTATGTTGTTCAAGGGATGTTGTAGTAATCGGTACAAAGTATGTTCTGCTGCAGTTTGTTGCAAGTGAAACCTTAATTTGCTTTGACGAAGAGCAGCGACAGTTATATTTGTGCTTGATCCTAAGAGACGGTGGGGTAGCCTAGTGGTTAAAGCGTTCGCTCATCACGCCGAAAGATATGAGTTCGATACCCCATATGGGTACAATGTGTGATAACCATTTTTGATGTACCCCGACGTGGTATTGCTGGAATATTGCTAAAAGCGGTGTAAAACATCATGACTGGTCCTATCAATGGCTGACGATCACTTTTCAGGTGGGGGTGTGGTCAACTGTGTCTACAGCCAGACCGACACGTCGACAGACACAACATACGTCGCCGTCTACAACAACGACACCACCACTGACGAGAGCACGACGTACAGATACACGTGTTTGGTACGTACAATATACTTCACTATTATAAACTGTTAATTAAAGAAAGTATACACTTCAAAATTGGATTTCATAAAAAAAAGTACAAAACTATATTTTCAAAACGTTACCAAGCTGAAACATATGACGAACTAAATTCTAATGAAATATGACAACAGTGTGCGAAATAGTTTCCAAATTTTGCTATGCCTGAAAGTCACTAGCACACAAAATAATTCACTAATCCGAAATTTAAATGTAGACATGGGTTTCATCTTTAAGCTGATAATATAATGAACATTTTTTTCAGGCCATAATCTTGCATGATTTAAAAGTGTATTATAACTAAACAAGTCACAAATTCACTTGCCAGTCGGACCAGTGACTGTGGAGATTTTCTGGCCCAGTGGCCCGACTGGATGTTTACTAGCCACGGGCTTACGGGCCAGTGGCTATTTCGCACACTGTATGACATCCGTATCAAATACATCATCATCGAATTTCTTGTTCGTTCCATTTTAGTACACCATCAAATATGAGTGTATTTATATTTTTCCCCGGTAGTTTACTTGAACGACCCGAGAAAAAGAGCAGACTGTAAAAGAGCAGACTGTACATGGCCAGGATGTTCCTGAAGCTAGATTTTAGAATGACGTAAGGCGACTAACGGGAATGGATAGTCAGGCTGTAACAGCTTATAACATGGCAGCGGTAGATCTAATACTTACTACAAAAGTGACAGCCGTGGATCTTATTACTTGGTAAAGACTTGATAGTCACAGATCATATTATTTACTGCGGACTAGATAATCGCAGATACCAATATGTAGAAATCACCACTCGATTCTTTCCTTCTCCTTTAAAATAACGTTGGTTCTCCTGGGAAGATAACGTTGGTTGGTTGTTGTTTAACGCCGCACTCAGCAGTATTCCAGCTACATGCTGGCGGTCTGTAAATAATCTAGTCTGACAAACCAGACAATCCAGTGATTGACATCGATCTACCAACTGAGATACGATGACACTGGAAAATAACGAGTTGTCACGGATGATCTCAATGTAGGAAATCGTCATGGAGAGTAAGCCTGTCTTTTGGTCCCACCTTGTTAAAGGATGATGTCGTAGCCATTCATTCACTTAATACATATGTTCGCTCTGTTTTGTGCACTTAATGTATGTACCCTGTTCTGATGAGAACCATCAACCAAAGCCATACTGTGTCTTCGTTGTATGACGAAATATTCTCGCCCGTTCGTAAACCCATTTCACCTGGGCAGTCTCAGATCACAGAATGAACCATCAACGGTGGGGCACTGTTCCGTTCCAAACTGCCCGTTCGACTGGGCATGCCGACGCTGACGTTACTGAGGCTGACGTTCTGTAAGAGTGAGGTAACTACTCGTGTGATGTCGCTGACCCTGAACAGGTTTCAGCTTTCTCGTCTTATTAGTATTTAACTTTAATCACCTATCGATATGTTTTTCATCTTTGGCGTCTTTGCTGTCCACAGGCCGTCTCGGCGACTGGCGCCGTTGTCAACGTCAGCCAAAGCGCCAGGATCTGCCAGAGCGATCAAAACGCCACTTACGTGGCTACAGGCGCCACACTACAACTGACGTCCAACCGTAAGTTCACTTCCGCCTCTCTATCTAGACACCTATTTGAAGTCTAAGAGGCCGCATTTCGTCATGCGTCACTCAGCCACCAGGATCCGGTCGTCTCGAGTTTGAATCCCAGATTAGACCCGATGTCGATCCTTGGTTTTAACATCAATATATCCATGCTTCGTGTTTTCACTGAGCGATTAAACGTTTAACATCAATGAGTAACCGTTTACAAGTTGAGTAACCTTGGATTTGCCTCCGTAATTAAGTGACATATATACCTGACTGTTTAACACCATCGTTAAAACCGAACAATATTTTTTCACAATTGTCACACAATGTCTTGATGTGGACGATCTTGTTTCGTTCATATGTAGATTAATACTGATAATACTACGTACATATTTTTATCAATCAAAACTAATTCTATGACTTTTAAACTTGCAGAGACCTGTGGTAAGTTGTTGTTTTTCAGTTTCTAATATTTGTTTTCAACAATATTTGTTTGCTCTTTTCAAACACCATCTTCTTTCTCTATCCATGCATCTAAAACAGCGGGTAGTCCAGTGGTCATAGCGTTCGCAACAGTTGAGACCGGGTTCAGTCCCTAATATGGGCATACCTTGTGTAAAACCTCGCTTTAAGTGTCCAACTTTGAAACGACGGGCTGGACTATCGTTCAAGGGGTCATTAAACACTGTTTCGTGAAATGCATATTATCTCACCCTTTTGTGCACCCAAGGCACCCAATCATGTGCACCCGATGCATCCATGCACCATATACTGATGAGAACCATCACCCATATCACTGTTGCATCATTTCATCCTTTTCACTCTATTTCTACTGCACCCATTACTGTCACTGTCCCTTTCACTGTCCCTTTCACTGTCTAACAGTCCCAGTGGGAAGTCTTGGACGGGAGTGACAGCTCTGTTAGAAATGCTGTCTCTGATGCCGCTGACGTTACCGACTGTTGACGTACACGGTCAAATTGTCAAGACATATGTTTCAAGATGGTTTATGTCGCTATTGGTCAACACCGACACTCATATGAAATATAAGCTGGCGTCGGCCACACTTGAAACCAAAGAGATTGGCCTCTATATTTTTGTGATATCTGTACTATTTATGGTTTTTGTTTCCGACGCATTAAATACGTTTTTTGTACATTACGTAATATTGCGGGGAAACGTTTGAAATGCTGTTGTAAGATATCATCGATTTATGAAAGATTGTGTATTACACCCGCAGCAGATACACATTACTTCCTATGAAATTAATAAGCTGAGCACCCGTCCACAATATGCAAGAGACAATGCACTGAAGTGTATATGTCTCTTTCCAGTGCCAACCACTACCACACCAGCTGCAGTTGCAAGTGCTGACGTCACTTCCGTTGTCTCCGGGACTGTGTCACTGCTCTTGCTGTTGGCCATTGGCGCAGTGGTCCTCGTTGTGTTTTTAAAACTGAAGAAAAAGAAAGTTGACCCCAACACGACGAAGGATGAGGCTGTTAAACCCAATTCTGGCTCAACATTGCAATCTGACACGAGACCCAGATCTCGCCTCACTGTGTCCATTATGGATGTGGAAAGCGGCGTGACAAGCCCACGTGACGTAACTGTATCTGAAAAAGAGGCTGTGACAGATCAAACTGATGCACGTCCTTCACTTGAGGATGCGGAAACTGAAACTGATGCGGCTGAAATAACGCCAGATGAAACAAAGAATGAGGATGACATATATACCAATGCTGCAGGTGATGACCAGACTGACCTCAAGGTAGAGGATGAAACAGATGACCTCTCGGCCGTACCTGACAATCAGATTCCAGCCATCACTATCACAGACACTGACGATGCGCAGATCTCGCCCCCTGACGAAAAAACTGACCAAGACACATCCAGATCAAAGAAGTCCAAAACCGACACTCCTCGCTCCAAAAAATCTAAAAGTACTCCGCGATCGAAGAAGAAAAAGTAACAGAACAGTTTAAATCGCGGGAAAGAAATAACTCATTAGTTTGTGTGGGTAGCAAGTTTCTGTGCTCAATAGCACTGTACAGAGTTAGATGACATATACAATTTGATGCATCAGTGACCCAAATTTATGATGTCCGATGCAATTCCATATTTCGTTTTGTGAGATTTGTTTCCGTGTTTTCCTCATTGACTTGCCTTTTCATATGTTTTGACGGATTCAGTGACCCACTATTTTTGAATACATTGTAGCATCACGATTTAGAATTCCGCATGTCAGAAGCGTTCTGTGGAGACTTTCATTGCTGTGGAGATGACTTTGGTCGTGTATATCTACATACAGCATCGTCAAAGTAGCTGAAATGATTGACCAACAATACCACCACGTACACGATGTGAGTCATCGTCATGAGAATATTAAATTCTCAAGTGTCATGACTGCCAAGTATTTGAGGTGAATTTTAATCACACGGATTGACGACAAGAAACATTTGCATTTCAATTTCGCCTACTCAGCACGTTCTTAACTCTTTTGTGATTTTGTACTCTTAGCACACGTTTTGCACTGTTTGCATAACTTTGAAGTATACGTGTTACTGTATATCATGGAGTTATTGTATATCATTGACATATACATATATATGTGTTACAGTATATCACTGACATGTTCATATATGACAGTATATCACTGACATGAATGTATAATACAGTATATCACTGTACAAGTCATTGTGTTAGAAAGAACGGTTACTATTTTAGAATGCTCAATCTAAATGATCACTATAAAATATATAATCTCCAGTGTCGCTGTATTGTAAAAGAAATATCGAATTCTTAAATTTTCCTGTCAGAATATTGACAATAATGATCATGTTTGAGATCAATGTTATTTGTAGTGATATTTATGCATAAATGCAAAAGAACCGAAAACAATAAGCAAGTAGGTTCAGTATTTCAAATAGGACAGTATTAGACGACGTTTATATTTTCAGTGCCGGAAAACATAACAACGACAACTACTGCTCCGACGACGACTGCTGCTCCTCTTACCGGTAACACCACCGGCATTGCTGTAGGTGTGTCCTTCGCCATCATCATGCTCGTCCTGTTGGTCGTCCTGTTCCTCTTCCTCTTCTGTGGGAAGAAACGAATGAGGCTGTACAAGAGCATTTGTGGCGGGAAATGTGTCGTCTGCTGCTCCGAGACCCATGAATGCATGCAGTTTAGTTTGTTGAAATGTTGCGGATGTCTGTCGTGGACGAAGATGATCCTACTGCGGTGCTATGAGTGTTGCTGCCCCGAGTGTAGTCAAGGGAGAGTTGAGCCGTCGGGTGGCGATGTAGAGTCCGGTATTGTCGTAACGGTGACTCCACCGGCGGATGAGAAGAAGGATTCGTTTATGCCACTGCCGCCTAGCGTCGAGGAGGTGGGCCCAGTAGACTCTCAAGGAAACCCGCGTCGACTTCCCCCTCTGGAACCCAACAAGACATCACCTATGACAGTGATTGAAGAGGAGCCTGATGAGATGCCGGGCTCCCCAACCAAGCTCCCAGCTATCTCGCCCCGTTCTGATGAAGCGGAACCCTCACAGGATGCTTCTGATGGAAAGATGGAACCGGAAGAGAAGGTTGACGAGTTGAAGCCTGACGAGGAGTTGGTAGCTGTAGCTGGGGAACAAGTTCAAGGTCAAGAGACGAAGCCTGACGAGGAGTTGGTAGCTGTAGCTGGGGAACAAGTTCAAGGTCAAGAGACGGAAGGGGAGGTAACTCAGGTGAAAGAGCTGACGAACGTACAGGAACCTGTGGTGAAAGATGACCCTACTGCTAACGAAGGTGAGGTGGTTCAGCCTGTAAATGAGCCAGAAAACACCCCGGTTGAGTCAGGCCCTACTCCAGTCCCGCCAGAAACTGCCCCGGAGCAACCTGAAACTGCCCCCGAGCAACCTGAAACTGCCCCGGACCAACCTGAAACTGCCCCACCAACTGAAACAGCTCCATCTGGCGATCAGCCTGAGACTCCAGCAGAAACAACTACAGCTGAACCTACTCAACAAACGACAGCTGCAAGGGAACTTGACCTCCAACCAGTGGAGCATTCCACTCCCAGAGATTGAGAGTCAGCACATGCTCCTCTTTGAAGGAGGCAGAATGAATAATCGTGTTTTAGGGAACATGTTCTATAGTTACTAGTCGGAAACAAAACCTATTCAGGTAGGTAACAGATAGGTAGCAAATTTGTTTACATATGTTTTTTTAAAGTTACTAGTCGATGAAATACCTTGCTACCGGAAACATAAGTGTTTGTTACTTGGCTAGACGTACGATGTACTTTTATGTACACATTTATATCAGTTGTAGGTCTGAATGCGTTAATGTGACATGACACTAATCTTTCAGAGAAGAGTAAGATATACGACATATTGGTGCGCGTGTTTAGTACCAAACAAAAAGGACTATGCAAAGTAAACCACATCCATACCTTATATGCATCTAGTCTTTTGGGGTCCTTTTACGTATTTTGAAACACCCGTTGCCAAAAATTCAAAAGAATCCCTGAAACACTCACTTACGTCTATAAGGAAAAAGCATTTTCCTTCAAAACCGCTGATCTAGGACCATGAGTAAAACAGAAATAGAATTATGATGTGGGGTACACATGCAATTGATTTTAAATAAGTTTAAAGATTGGATTACGAGACATGATTTCAGTATTGAAAGGTTCTCATGAGCATAGTTATAAAGGTTTGAGTTCGTTTTTTTGTGGGTTCTCGTTGTTGGTGTTCCTCGTTCAGTGTTTCAGCGCCATGCTAATACAGAGGCATGAAACGTAAAAGAACTGAACATTTTCGATCATAGCGCATTACCAGTCGTTGTTTCAGGTGTTTCGTCATAAACCTTTCGTTGTTTCAACGTACTCGTATATTTCGTTACCATGTCTATGTGCATAAAGCACCTTGTAACACAACCCATCTCACACGATCGACAGTTTGATGTCTCAACAAACCTTTTCGAATTTAATTTGTTGAACAATTGTTACTGCATGCGTTTGCCATGCACATGTTTGTTAATATGTTTGTATATGCAAATATTGGTTTTCTTTGATTATGATGTACATATGTAAACTGAAAAAACGATATATATTTTATATTCGTGCCCCAAAGCAACACTGTGATAGTTTGTGACTATATAATTATGTGAGTTATATTATTTCCAGCATATGTGCTTCTGTATATAGTATTTTCTTTGAACGTTTTCTGTACTCAAAAGCTGTTATTGTTTGTATTTTTTAGGTTTGAGAGTGAATTGGTTCGTTTTAACGAGTGTAACCATGTACATAGCGTTCGCATTATACAGGTTCTTCTGTACCCCAAAGCAAAACTGTGATAGTTTGTATTATAAGGGTTTGAGAGTGGAGTATTATTTTTATATATTTTAACATGCATTAAGTTTCCATTGTCATTTGTAGAATATGCTATGTGATGTTCTATTACCCCAAAGCAAATCTGTGATAGCTTGTATTATAAGTGTTTGAGAGTGAAATAATATTGTTTATATGTTATTTTAGTTTTAATAGCGTTGATATGTAACCTCCACAGCCAAACCTGGCGATGGATTAGCCAGGTGTTGTGTAATGAAGGAATGTGTGTTTAAGAGTCCATATATAGTTCTGAAGTGGACCTGCTCACGAAGCCATTGGTATATCATTTAGCCGGTGTATGTAGATATGTAATTATTTTTGTAATAAAGTTTCTCTGTTTGAAGCGAGTACTCCGCTTTTAGCGAGTACACTTCTATTTCTGCAGATGTTGTTTCTGGGCGATGCTATGTTAAACGTTCGGAAATATGGCAATATCTATTTCTGAAACAACTTTGATTGATTGAATGATTGATTGATGTTAGTGTTATGCCACACTCAGCAATATTACAGCTATATGGCGGCTGTCTGTAAATAATCGAGTCTTGACCAGACAGTCCGGTGATCAACATCATGAGCATCAATCTACGCAATTGGGATACGATGAAGTCAGCGAGCCTGACCACCTGACCCCGTTAGTTGAACAGCAAACCCCTGTTCGCACCCAACCCAAACACACACACACACACACATCCACACAAAAAAAATAAAAAAAATAAATAAATAAATAAATAAATAAATAAAAACTAAAACAAGACATTCAGCGTTGAACTTTGAAGGTCGACTGAAGCGGCGCTGAAATCTCGCCTGCAGGACAAACGGTATCGTAAGGGGATTTTGTCTCTCCTGGAACTCCATTGATAAAATTACTGACAATGTTGCCTACAGTGCTGTTGGGGTCTTATTCTCTCGTAGTAGTGAGAAGTTTCAATTTTAAATTTTAAGACCTGCGTGGATATTTTCCCCCTTTACCTATAGGTCATTGTGTACACAAGCTTTTAATATCTAGGTAATCTTGATCTTTCACTGATTAAAAGTGACATTTTTAACATGAAAATTCCATGACGGGAATCGATTCTGCAAAGTATTATTAAATATTCATATATTTAATATATCATTTTTATTACGGCGATTACGGACCGAGGCAGCCAAGATACACTCTTGTGACCACATGACTATCTGTGCCAAACCATTAAGGTATGAAAATTTTACTGCGAGTCTCGCTGCGAGCCAGTGAATACCAATGAATAGAACCCGGACCATATGCCGTGTCGAGCAAACTCGTGTATATGCTTATAGTTTGTGTGTTTGTTGTTTAACGCCGCACTCAGCAATACCCCAGCAGAAACTGGGTACCTGGTGGTATAAATCATATGACTATTAACCTTCTAGCGCCTCACAGGCAGCTTGGGTTTACCGGGGTAATATTATCCATCATGTTGTTAGCACTTTGAGCATACCCGTGCGGGGTGGGGTTCAGCGCTACATGTGGCCTTAAAAACAACGTTGACAATACATTGATTGATGGATTGAGTTTCGTTTTTCGCCACACTCAGCAATATTCTAGCTATATGGGGGCAGTCTGTAAATACTAAAGTCTGAACCGGACAATTCAGTGATCAACATCAATAGCATCCATTTACGCAATCAGGATACGATGACTTGCGTCAACCAATTCAGCGAGCCTGACCACCCGATCCCGTGTGTCGCCTCAAGGGTTGCTGAAGACCAATTCTAACCCAGATCGTCACGGGTATACGCATATACATGTATATGGATAATTAGGTATGCAATCAATTAAATATAACGTCCAGGGGACCGTTTCACGAAGCTCTCACAGCGCTACGACTGTCGTAAATCTATGTTGCAGTATAGGAAGCACGCCAGTCGTAGCGCTACGATAGCTTTGTGAAACGGGGTCCGGGTAGATAACTATTAATCGAGTGAAATCACTGATTGAGTAAGAATGCATCGTTGTGTCCTAAAGGTGAGTGAGTTAGTTGGGTTTAACGCTGTTTTAACAGTATCCCAGTTATAACACGGCATGGAAGCTTAATGTGGGAGAAAAACCCGAAGTAATACAGGCCTTGGACGTGTAACTCTTTGATGAAACACAAGCACGGGCATGGTGTTGACAAACCTAGTGAGTGATTGAGTGAGTATGGTTTTACGCCGTTTTTGGCAATATTCCATAAATACCAAGGCGGGGGTCACCAGAAATGGGCTTCACACATTGTACCCAGGTGGGGAATCGAACCCGGGTCTTCGGCGTGACGAGTGAACGCTTAAACCACTCGGCTACCCCACTGCCCCAACAAACCTAGAAACATAACCCAGAAACTTAATTGGAGCTAATTTTATTGGAAGTGTACGAAGTGAAATTCGGTCACCGTGTTACCGTATTCACGCCATGTATTCCCCTGGTTCTCCCCGTACTCGCCGACGTCATAAGTCGGCCGTTATCGCCACCGCCGCAGGGGAGAGTCGGGTCAGCGGCGGTCAGACTCGATAAAAACCTCAGACGTTTTAACACACGCGCTCCAATATCGTGCAGCCAAATACTCATTCACACGAAACAAAACACCTGGATTTTATGCACGACTACAATCGACGTGGTCTTGGCGTGGGCGCCCAGGTAATTAACACCTCAGGTGGTCACTGACGCGACAGACACGCTGCCCAAAATCGCCCACGCGCATAGCCAGGTTGTCCGGTTTATATAATATTCTTGGCAGCCAAAACCACATTCTTTTCCAAAACGGAAAAAAATCCCAATATGTAAAAACTATTTGGCTGAGACAAATGCTCAAATGCCTAACGACCGCTGAAGGGGGTAGGTATTGAGTCTTCGTTATGTAGTCCCGTGTTGCGTAGACTCACATAAATATTTTGTTATGAATATAAAGTTAAATTTGAAAAAATACGGTCAAAGTTTTAAACATATTTTTGTTCTTACAAAAGGGTTGTTTTCTTTACTAAATCGAAATGGGAGTCATTCATTGTTTTCAGGTCGCCATCGTGGCGTCATCTTGGCATCATCGTGGCATCATCTTGGCGTCATCTTGGCGTCATTGTGGCGCCATCTTGGCCCCATTGTGGCGCTTATTGCTGCGTCCGGCACAAGGCAACAGACAAACGCTTACTTTTGACGCTGCTAGTAAATAAATATTTTCCGTCGGTCGTACGATTTGAGTTTTTAATTTGAATCCATCAGGTTTAAATTACATTCTTTTAAATTTAAATGTGTTACGGTCGTGATGCGTAAATCCGTGAAATTTGGGTCTACGAACATGAAAGATGCAGCAAACGAACGATATACACTGTATGTTGAATATCAACACAACTGTACAGCAATTGTAGGTCTATTTTTCAACTAGGAGGCCTTTCGGGTGCTACTACAATTTACAACGTGGGTTTAGGAAGGAGGATGGAGGTCTATTTCATCACATGTGACAATGGCCGTCTGTAGTCCAGGAGATCTCATAGCAACACGAGACAAGGAAAATATTGACCGTCACTGACTTCAGTTGAATTCGGACAATACCCGTGTTTACACTGAAAGAGCTTCCGCAGGGCCGCAGAGCAAATTATTCGGTTTCAGGGAGGTGGCATTAGAGATGGAACGATCGTACCGTAAAACTGTAGTTTTAATGTATCGCGATACTGGGTGAACATTGAATGCTGAGAACTTGTGGAGTG